GGAAAAAACATATAGTTCAAACTAAAAAAAAAAAAAAAAAAAAAAAAAAAAGAAAATATCTCCAAAACCTAATATGCTAGGGGGAAAAAGAAAGTAATTTCTGGAATCGGGTTTAGGGACACATAAAGCCAAAATATGTGGTCTGCCATTGTAATCAATATTTATTGAATAACATGACACAAACGTCGCTCGTCAAATTCGGTTGGAACTTGTGAGTGTAAACAATTCAGACCATGGTTGGATGAAAGTTATGCTGATGTCATCAAAGGCCGATGCTGACGGCTTGAGACGGACTACCCCGAGCACTGTCGTCTTTGTACATTTTAGGCTCAAAACAGAAGAGGTTCCTTCCAGCTTGTGTTTGCGCAACAGGGAATAAATCGATTAGCATGCCCGCTAATGTACACTTCTTTATCTGTACAGACTGGACTTACAGTAATATGGAGGATGTGCTGTCGTTGAAGCCCTTTGACAGAAAATGACTCCGGTGTTTGCGTTGGTGCACGTGGCTCTGTGTTTTGTTTGTTTGTGTGTGTGTGTGTGTGTGTGTGTGTGTGTGTGTGTGTGTGTGTGTGTGTGTGTGTGTGTGTGTGTGTGTGTGCGTGCGGGCAGGTGCATCAGTAGTGTTATGGAGCCTGGCTCGTCTTCCAGCTTTGCAGTCTCATTAAGATAAGCCACTTCCACTCAGCTGATGAATGTCAACAAGTCGTGAGTCAAACTCTAGACATGACAGACGTGCACACACATTACACACACGGGCCCATCACGCTCGGTTTGTTTATTTTTCTTTGGAAATAGCCAGGACGGAGTACACGTGTCCATCTATCTTTCCGCACAAAATGCACTCTCGTGTCGTATCGTGATTATATTACCCGCGGTTCATGCTATTTAATGGGTTTTTTTTTTTTTTGCTTAGGAAATAGATTGTAATCCATCCATTTGTTTCCCCCAGCCTTTGTCCTTATTGGGATCTCGGGTGGTGACGGAGCATCTCCCGGCTGACTTTGGGCAGAAGGTGGGATACACACTGGAATGGTCGGGAGTGAATTGCAGGCCAGATGACTGGTTGGTTCGCTGAAAGAACCAGCGGTGTCAAATTTGTCACATTCACCCAATTGGATTGGAAATGGGCCGGGCCATTGTGGTTGTGGCCCAATAAGCTGTCAATAACAACAAATTGTTTTGGTGCACATAATTACAAGTACATTTGTAAAATATTCATGTTTTTGTCTTATGACTGTAAATCGATGGAGAACTAGTTTTGAGATCAGAAGTCAAGAATAACGGGCTGTTTATTACATTGTAATTATACCATTTTAGATGAAAATTAGAACTTTTGGTTCAGACTTTAGTTGACCTGCTTGAATTGCTTACGCGGGCCACATAAAATGATGTGGCGGGCCAGATCTGGCCCCCGAGCCTTGGCTTTGACGCGTCTGGGTTACAGGGTGCATGAAAGGGTGAAATATTCGCAACTTACAGATCAGAGTGGAGGTATAAATGGACAGGCCATCAAACCCTAGAAATCTTTTTAAATGATTGAGAAAACCTCAAATGACTCATCGCACCAGACAAACTAAAACAGTGCAAACGGTGGGCATGTGGGCTGAGTCGCAATGCCGTGAAAGTTGCATGAAAGTGTTTTTCCTGGTTATCTCAGAAATGAATTTGAAGTAAAGCAAATCATTGCTGGTCTTTATGGGAATTCCAGAGTTGGGCCAGTTCAAGACGAACACATTTGGGAGTCTAGTCAGGGGACAAGACCGAGACCTTCAAAACGTGGTCTTGGGACCGGTCTCAGATCTTTCAATGTGACTTGATGCCAAGGGCAATATCGAGCAATCTTGACGTAAGCAGGATTGACAAATCAGTCCAAGTATCTCTGGCAATGCCAATGTCACACCCAAATGATTCAACCACCGAAAAAAGCTCTCATTCACTGCTGCCCTGTCATTGCCCAATAAAAAATAAAATTAAAAAAAAAGATCAAAGCAGGTTACCAGCAATCCAACTTTGGGCCTAACAAAGGAATCGTTTATTTCCAGCCATCCACTTTTGGAGTTCTTTGTCATCATTCGGGTCATGACTCAACTCATTTTTGGCAAGGGGTGGGCTAATCGCAGGGCTATAAAATAACAGTGCTGAATGGATGATCACGTCACGGCAATTGTGTTTCTGGCATTTCAAAAATGTTTCCTCAAGCATCGAAATTGATGCCCCGGAGATCAGCCTCAGTGATGTTGGTTTTTTTTTTTTCCTTTTCCTCTCTTTACCAGGGCTCTTCTTCCATGACCGGTTTCGCTGGTCGGGAAAGACTTCTGGTCTTGAAGGATTTTGAAGGCCACTCTGCTCTTAACCTTGAGTCCTGCAGAAATTATTTTGTAACCTTGCCCACAATTCTCTCTCTTTCTCTCTCTGATCTAGGAGGAATTGCCTCATATCGCAAAAATATTTCTACCTCCTCCCGCGTGGCTCCTCTGGCGATATGAGGTGATACATTACGGACGCGTTGCGTTCAAAGAAGTTACTATTTTTTATTTTTTTCCGAGGGAATGTGAATGAATACATTAAGAATCAATTTATCAGAAAATCTGAATGGTTCATCACGGCCTACAGTGTGAACATAGCCTAAGGTTGCTTTGCATCAAGAGTTGCAAATCTTGTCGAATAGGTTGAAGGATCAAATAAATATGAACTTTGTTTCACCTTCCTTGAAGCTGACGTTTTGGTTAAGTTTATTCCCGGGCTTTGTTCCTTTTTTAGTGTAATTGCTTTTGTATTTCAGGCATTCAAATATGAGAAGCGTAGCTGGAGCGTGTGCAAGTGATGGGTAAATCAACAGGTCTAATTGCATACAATTAACTGTCCTAAATTGTCTTCCAGCATGGGTTGACGTGCTACTTAGTGACAGTGTGAATTTTATTTTCTTTTTTTGTGTGCGTGTGGCGACCAGTCCAGGCTAAAAATAGTTTGCCTTTCACCCAAAGTCAGCCTGGGTCAGAACAGGATAAATGATATAGAAAATGGATGGATGAGTGGATGACGGAAAATGGTTGGACAATTGCACGGCACGCAAACAAAGATTATTGTTATGACTGGAACAGAAAAGTATTCTCTCGTTTTAAGATGCCAGTGATGTAACAGAAGTACAGTACCTGCACTGCAACTATCTATCGATTCATCCATCTAGCTAGCATAGCTAGCGAGCTAGATAGCTCTTGTGTGGATTAGTCAAGATGACCAACGCAGAACATAATTTCCACTGACAATCCCGAGTCTCTGCCACTAACATTTGTTTTATAACACACACAAACACACACAAAAAAAATCTCCTCTGGCATTAGACAGATCCAAATCCGTTATTGTGTATGACCAAACACATGAACAGGACAGTTAAAAAAAAAAGACACAGGTCATTCTGACAGCCAGAAAATACAACGAACAAATCCAAATAGTACAAGACATAAAAGAAGCTAGGCTAACGGTTAGCTGGTAACCTACAGAGGTCAAGTGCTTTTGAAAATGTATGGACTGGTAAAATATTTCTAGATTCATCCCAGAGGTGTGGCTCTCGAGGGCCAAAACGTGTTTTGCAAAGATGACAACGTTAATGATTTATTTTGTTGTGTGCCCGCTTCTTTGATAACTGGACTTTAATTACAATTAATTACAAAGAAATAATCAACTTTTTTTGGGTTGTTGTTTCCGAAACTCCCCTAAATTGTCATGTGACCTTGGCACCGCTGGAATATTCACCAGTGACACATGACTGTCAACCCAACCTATAAAGGCGATCGCTCGCCGTTGTGATCGTCAGCAGCAAACCTCGCGACTGCAAAGGTAACTTTTCAAACTCCATTCGCCTTGTTAGGATTGACTATTTGTCTTTTTTTTTTTTTTTTTTTTGCTTCAACGTGGTCACATGTCAATATAGCCCTCTTTATTTGTTCCAAATAAGTGTTTTTCCATAATTGTACAGATGGCATTGACTCTTCGCTCATTCCTCCTCCTTTGCGTGATCAGTGGGGCGGTGACTGGAGCCGTAAGTCACACTCTCCCCCGCCGACTTAAATAATACGTGAATGTGTTTACGGTTGTGTTTGCTCCATTGTCGTCTTCAATTGTGTCAATTTTCTGCAGTCTGATTTTTTTTAAACAATGTGCTTCTTCACAGTGGAATCGGTGTCCGGAGGGCTGGGTTGAGTTGGAGCACCGCTGTTACATCTATCAGAGTCAAGAAATGACATTTTTAGGAGCAGAGGTTTCGAAAGCTTCCATGCAGTACATGTGGATTTTAAATCATGATGTGCTGATTTGTTTATTTTTATTTTTATGATTTTTTTTTTTTTTTTTACTCTGCTTTCTTTCAGAAAGTCTGTAATATTCTTGGTGGGAATCTGGTCTCCATCCATAATTCCCTGGAAAATGCAGTCGTTTTTGATCTGATTCAGAGCGGCCCCACAGCCTGGATTGGACTCCATAGTGCAATTTTGGTAAGGAAAAAACAAAACAAAACACTGGGCAGTCCAAGAAAATGAATGTCATCTGTATTCTGAATGTTTTCATTCCTCTCTTATGCTTTTTTTTTTTTTGATTGAGTTAAAACAGTTTGCAGATGTCAAAATGACACACCTGTGTCAAAATGCCCAAAGGATCAAGAATTACGGCATACTTGACACACTTTTAACAGTCCACAGGAAATGAACCGGATGGGGATGGTGTTTTTTTTTTTTTGGTTCCTATAGTGACTAGGGCAGGGGTGTCAAACTCAAGGCCCGGGGTGCCAAATCTGGCCCGCCACATCATCTTACGTGGCCCGCGAAAGCCAATCAAACATGTCAACTTCCACGGTGCTCCCTGAAACCTGAACTAAAATTCTCATTTAGAAAAAGTAACAGACATTGTCAGCATTTTCTTGTTCCCAAACCGTTCATTACAGTAACTTAAATAGTTGAACAAACGCTTCTTCTTGATTTCTTGATGTGGTTTCACAGTCATAAGGGCCCTCCAAGGGGAACGGTAACGACAATGTGGCCCGCGACAATCCACGAGTCGAGAACCCAAGCGTGAGACACTTGGCAAGACCCCATAAAGATAGCAGAAGCATTGATTGCCTTTTTAGACGTCAGCAACTTGCGTACGCAAAAAAGAAATGAGGTGTAGGGTCGGCGGCGTGTCATTATCAGTCCGCTGGTATCCACGAGTATGACTCATTCAAATCTGACTTTGTTTTTCTGACAGGATCAGGACTTCCTATGGACCGATGGCTCCATTGTGACATTCACCGCTTTTAATTCTGATGGGCCTGACGGCTTGGGCAACTGTGTCCAGTTTTCGAGACTCGGTATGTAAAGTTTGCAATGAAAATAATGCTGTCATACGTCGACATTTTGTCGGCAGATATCATGTGGATCCGTATGCCTTGTTATACTGGAATGTGTTTTTTTTTTTTTTTAATGAAGCAAATTTAACATTTGAACATTTTCTTTCTTTCAGATGGATTTTGGCAGGATCATCCCTGCGATGTGAGGGCCCCATTCGTTTGCATCCAAGATGTGAAGTCTTTTGGCGACTTCTAATCTGTCCTTTTACCACCGCGTCTTCTGCCACGACGTCTTTCCCGAATCATTATGACGCTCTTTTCTTCCTCCACAATTCTGAGTTATTGGCAACACGCTTTTATGTTCATTAAAAAAAAAATCGCATTCAATTGTGTTCGGGTTTTGTCTCATGAAACTTGTCGATGGTATCGCTTCTTCACAGAATGGCTGCAACAAATCCAACATATTCACTTGGTAAAACAATGTCCCTTTTTTTTTGTTGATTTGAAGATAAATGGGACAGAATGACCACCGAATATTACTTGCAACTTAACCCTTTCGGGGACAGCGGTGACTAAAGTGGACAGCTTATCATGTTATCAGGTAACAAGGGTGCAGGAAAGGGTTAAAGGACCCTCAGTATGGTGTCAAGATGGCACATTTTTCTCCAACATGCTCATTTTATGTATTGGTTGAGCACAATTAAACTGGTATTCATTTTCAATGTCGATCCATTTTGGAGCAATTGGTCAAGAACTAATTTCCCACCCCCGGGGTGTCTTTTATTATTGGGGGGGGGGTCTTTGAGATGAGGTTGATTACATACTGTATCTACATGCACAGATTCCGATCTGATTGAAAAATAATCTATTTATGGGCGAAACTATACAATATGATTCAGTTCAGTTTGGGAGCGATATGACACTTTCTATTTGTTGTCTTCAAATACTCAAAGAAAATAATTAGGAACATTGCAAGAACCAGGGAGAAGTCATTCCATTGTCGATACTTATTTTTTCCCCCTTCTAGTGAGACTGATCGTTTTTTTTTGTTTTTGTTTTGTTTTTTTTAACCTTGTCTTTTTTGCCATTTTACAGACAGATACATCGACAGATCATGGCTTTTGTGTCTGACGCGAGGTGACAGGCAGTGTCCAGTTATTGAGAAATGAGTCTCATTACACACACAAACAGTCACTCAACCACCCAATCGAACCCCTCGACCGGGTGAGTCACTCTTGTTCTCTATCTTTGGATGGCCAAAATTAATGGCCTCTTCGCAGCCTTTCATTGTCATTGTGCCAGTTGCCTCTCCATGACAGCCTCATAATATTAGCATATGCAAATTAGGAGACATATTAATAACTTGGGAAGGCTGCAAAGAGCCACCCCTGGAGGGAAGTGACGCATGTTTCTTTCTGACTGTGGAGTGATTTGGAGTTGAGCCTGCCTTCTGTCACTCCAGGGTGTGTAACTCACTACAGCATATTTTTATACTTCTTAAAACTGAAAAAGCTCCATACATATACACCAACAGCTAGTGTCAGAAAAAAAACAGATCTGAAAACGTATTACTATCATATAATTTGTTGCGTGACGGCCGTAAAGCAATCTGTACACTTTGACATTTCAAAATAAAAGTAGACAACATTTATAAATAACAAGAACGACAACGAAAATCGAATTAAAACAGACAACAATCTGCTTTGCGTTGCCGTCTAGCATATCGGGATCAAAAATTATTCTTCATCAGTTCTGCATGTGTTGTGTGGTTTGTGGAGGTTCTGAATTTGTTTGCACAGTAAGATTAAATTCAAATCAGAACATGTTGAATCCTAGATTTGTGCGTCAAATGTGCGTGTGCACGTTTTCAGCACACGGACGCTAAATGAATGAGGCCCAATGAGTGCTTCACTTGCCCACGTCTTTCCCCACGCGATGACAACAAATTGGTGTACACGATCAGTACATTGCAATTTCTGACTGGAAGTTGCGCGACTGATCAATAGATCCTTTGCGTGCGTAAGTGACGCAGATTAGAAGGATGGGCAATACTGTATGTTACACAAAACAAATGAGTAAACAGGTTGTACGTTGCAAGTCGCGAACGAGAATCATCGTTGGCGTTCGCCATTGAGATAAATGCTCAGCGCTAACAATATCCTGCACTGCGTTATCTGATGGTTTTGCGAGACGTCATGCTAATTAGCAGTGAGCAATGAACTCGTTGGGTGTAAGATTAAATTGGTACTGTAATTATGGTCACTAATGACTGGTAGCAGACAGTCATTAGTGGCAGGTTGTCCGAAGTGATTATTGATTTCCCAAGAAAAAAACCCAAAACAATGTTATAGCTGAAAATATTCCACTGAATGAATGTTTGGATTTATAATTTTCTGCTTTTGTGTGCTTACTAAAAAAAAAAAAAAAAAAAAATGGCCATAAAGCAAGTGGGCTGTGTTCACGCTCACAATGGCGCAAACCACATTTTTCTCACTGCGCTCATCTGCAAAAAAATTCAAAATAAAGCCAACCTCATCATCTCAATGGAATCCAAATTAAGAGTTCATCGATGTGTCTCTTTGATGAACATAAATTCTTTATTTTTTCATGCACTGCTGCCAGGAAAACAGGTTGTGCGACATAGCGACAGATGTCATCATAAATGAGTTAAAACGGGGTACCGCAGGTTACCAATTGCTTTTTAAAATGTTTATTTTCCCCTTCGTGGAGCGTATATGTCAGCCCCGCTCCTGTGCAATTATCAAACAGCTGTAGATTTTGCTGGTCCAGAGAATGTTCAAGTATTATTCAAAATTGGAAGATGAGATGCCAAAAACAAAATAGTGGTTTGTCAACGTCAACCTTTAAACATTGATGCTAGAGCAAAGTCGTCCACACAGGAAGACGACTCAAACATTTCACTTCGCAACGGTGAGCTAGACGTCCTAAAACGAAAATCCCAGTAACAGTCAGGTTTTTATTTGTTGCCAGGCAGACTTCAAGGACTTCCATTTTAAGCAAATTACAGACCCGTAGGAAGAACTTAATCGAACATGAGAGATGGAATTATAACGGAGAGGAAGGGCCAAAGTGTATCGAAGCAAGGACGCCGAGCGGGTGTGTCAATTACGGCCATAATTGTCACCTGCTGGCTCGATGTCACGCTCGCTTCATTTTACACGGCAAAGCGCTTGGCTCCTACATCTGGCCGGCTGATGAAGAGACAGCATGCGGTGTCATGGAGACGGCCGGGCTGCCTCTACATGGGGCAGCTTCTTCACAAACGGCATCACACGAAGCACATTATCGGATGGTAGTGGAAGCCACTAGCGGGAAGGACAGAAGATAAAATAATGTGGTGAGATGGGAAAAAAAAATATTTTAACACCACTCAATCGGATATCTTTGACATAAGTGATTAAAACCTAATGCTCATTTTTTCAGAGACCAAAACCACCAAAGGCCTATGGTCTTTGGAGTACCGGGTGTAAAAATGTGACGTTACGAATCAGACAACAGAAAAAAAAAAGCATCAACCTAAGTCCATTCTTCACTTGTACAAATACTGTCAGCACATTTACGAATTAAAGCTTGATTGACGAAACAACTGGTGTCTGTTTTTTTTTTATGCTTCCGATAACCATATATTTTCACCAGAATACGTGTGCTAGCAAAAATTAGTGAGTTGTCAGGCATTTTGAGACCACCCCCAAAAGCCAATTCAGAACCCAAAAACAGCAATTCAAAGAGGGCAGTGGTGCTCAGGCCCATGAAAAAAAAATATATATATATAAAAGGTCCCAGAGGGCTTATAATCAACCCGTCTTTGACCAATGCCGTCATATGTGGCTCTGCATCAAATCCATCTCTTGTCGTGTCGTCCCGGTTCCAAAAAACCTCCACCTCAACATGTCTCAATGACTAATGGCCCACAGCTCTCATTTTGCGTCATCACCAATTGCCTTGAGGTCACACTGCTTAGTGATGAAAACACATTGATTGGCATTGCATTAATTCCATGACGTTGACATTGCAATAGCAGGTATAAGCATTAATATCCAAATATTCCAGAATTAAGTGTTTATTTATACAACAGTGGTATAATTACAAATGCTGATTTGATGTTGCTTAGCTGTTTTTGTCATTTTCGTGTAATATTATTGTATTGGCTCGCTACATTTTTCTGGTGGGTTGCTTCAGTGTCGTTGATCTTTCACTTAATGTAGAAACTCTACATTTTGGAAGTGGAATGCCCAATGTCTCTCGAATCTCGATACAAGCAAAAAACAAAAGGACTTATGCACACATTTCAACATGTATTTAGTTCAGGTTGACATCCTGAAGCACATCGAATCTTGAAAAAGAAGGATATAAAACTCCGCCTCCAGATGTCGCCGTTAACGACACCATAACCTGGGGAGGATAAAGTAGAAAAAACGAACAATGTGATTTACGAGTGACAAGTTTCACAGGTTAATTTGCACTAATTATTTTCCACATTTTAAAACAATAAAACAAAAAAACACGCCCCTGCCCTTGATCGACTCACAACTCTTGCCTCAAGCAGAGTTCAGACAAAACGACTACATTTCCCAAGATGCAGCGCGAGCTGGGTGACAAGCTAACCGGCCATGTGAAGCAGCGAGTGAACGCTGCTCCCTTTAACCAGTATTGCACTTGACTTTTTGCACTTTCTTTTGATACTTTACATACACATATACCGGTGTTAACATTGTGTTGTTGTCAGCTGAACGTGTTTGATGAGCAACCCAGCCGGTAGGGTGAGCAACAACCCTGGAGAAAATAAACATCCCTTGCCGGACTGTTGTGGAGGTCTTGGCAACGTCGACTACTCCAAGGTAAAACTCAAAACACTTGCACACGTAATTGTCACAAATAACACCCAATTTGTGACAGTGAAAATGCTCCGAAAAGCTAAAAGCTACCGTTCACTGACTATTATGTCACCGTATGCACGTTGATTGACAGCCAGGAAACCAGCTGGGACAACTTGACGTATCAAAACAAAACTATGAATTTCTGCAATGAAATAAAAAAAAAAAAGTAACCGGTTATGCATTACATTATTAATCAGCGAAAATAATATAATGTTGATGTCTACACGTTTTAACATGTTTGACTCTCTCCTTTCAGATGGACCTGAAGCTTTTTGAAGAAGTCTTAAAACACATCGACTTTCACGACCCCAGCTTCCACGTTGCTGTGATTGCAATCATTTTCAACCCACTTTTCTGGAATGTGGTAAGTGTTTCCGTTTTGAATTGCACTTGTCACACCCGACGTGTGCGTGCACCACAAATGAATCCGTTTCTCAAGGAGTAAATTGTGGAGCTTGACTTAACAGTCCCCAGTGGTGGCCTTATTCATAATTGAACTTTGTAATAGGTGTAAAACTTGAATGTTGATGTGTTTAATTTCGATATCCATCCGTTTTCTAATCTAAGACTCCTCGCAAGGGTCGCGGGGGGGGATGCTGGAGCCTATCCCAGCTGTCTTCGGGCAGAAGGGTGAGGGGGGGGTGGTCCACCCTCACCGGGTTTCCAGCCAATCGCCGGGCACACGTAGATGAACAACCATTTACGCTCACGATCACACCTGGGGACAATTTAAAAGTGTTCCATCAACCTGCCATTCATCTTTTTGAAATGCGGGAGGAAACCGGAGTACCCGGAGAAAAGCCACGCAGGCACGGGGAGAACATGCAAACATATCTATGTATTTGTACTTATGACAACATTTTGTCTGAAGGTGAATGTGTGTTCCTGTGAGTTGCTCCCCTTTAAGATTGTACATTTGAATGATTTCAACTAAAAAAACAAGTTACAGAATGGTGAATTATACACCCAGACCGCTTCCTTACTTGGAAGTCTCGCCGGCGAAAAGCAAATTAAAACGCCCAGGCACAAGAGACTGAAACTGACACTTTTCGTATTTTAATTCAAGGCTCCATTCATATTCATTCATGTTTCATCTTTTAAAGATGAGTGAATAGTTTCCTGGAAACAAACATGCGCAATCGCCGAAGTCTGGGTGATGGAAAAATAGCCGTCACGGCCAAGTTTCCCCGCTTTCCGATGTGAAGTTGTAGCTCCATTCTGCTCCTCGGGTCCTCTCCGCTCACGGAAAGTATCACAGCTTGGCTGCAAATATGACCCGGCACATACAAATAAATAATTGAGTCAAATCAACTCCTTTGTAGATCTCATTAGCTTGGTGGCGAGCATTAAATGGATGTCAAGATGACATTAGGTACCCGCTTCATCTCAGCAGACGTCGCAGGCATCAAAGCGCATCAATAGAGCTTCAAACTATTGTGGCTTTGGCGAGGCTTCATTCGACAGATTCAATTTAAACTGTGTGAGATGGACGGAATATTATATCCCGGTTTGGAAAATTCATGTCCTGATAGCGGGCGGCCCGATGGTCCAGTGGCTAGCGTGTCGACCTCACAGTGCAGAGGTGCTAGGTTCAATTCCAGCTCCGGCCTCCCTGTGTGGAGTTTGCATGTTCTCCCCCCGGGCCTGTGTGGGTTTTCTCCGGGTATTCTGGTGTCCTCCCACATTCCAAAAACAAGCATGGCGGACTGATTGAATGCTCTAAATCGTCCCTAGGTGTGAGTGTGAGCGCGGATGGTTGTTTGTCTCTGTGTGCCCTGCGATTGGCTGGCAACCGGTTCAGGGTGTCCCCCGCCGACTTCCCAAAGACGGCTGGGATAGGCTCCAGCAACCCCCGCGACCCTTGTGAGGATTGGCGCATCGGAAAATGGATGTATGGATTAAAAATATTTGTTTTATATCCTGATAACGAAATCCAGTCCTATATAGTCTGATATAGTACTGCTGTCCCTTTAAATAACCTGAAATGAATGTCAAATTTCTTTGATCTGTTGTCCATTTATTTATAAGATGCATATTTTATATCGAAGATACAATCAAATCAAAAAGCACTTTTAGAGAAACCTGGAATTTTTTAATTTATTTATGTACTTTTCAATTATTTATTTTATTATTATTATTATTTTTTATCTGCTAACAAGTGACCACCGTAACAAAACGGCCACCTCTCTACCACGCCATCCCCCGTGGCCCCCGCACTCCGACGCATGACCAATCAACCACGGCGTAATCCACCTGTCGGATTTGTGTAACAGTTGGCTCGAACATCAATTGTTTAGTCACGCCTACAGGGTGAGCCAGGAGGATGATGTCTTCCGAACTCCGACTGCTGTTGTGTTTCCGTTTCAGAGGTTGCGTTACCGCGGCAGCAGAGATAACCCAGTCATCAAATTTAATTGTATTTTTTTGAGTTGTGTGACATCCAGACGATGACCCCGGATGCCGCGAGTCTTTTTCTGAGTGTGTGCAAAATGTCTTTTCCCTTGTTGTCCCGCTTCAGGCAGAGGTCAGCCTTAGTTGAGGAAATGTATGCGCGCCTGTCTCCATGTATCTCCCCTCCTGTCCATATGTGGCACTGAAATCGATAGCCGAGCTCGCATAATTAAGCGTCACCTGATCTACCTGCATGGGAAATTTCTCGGTCATGGGGGTTGCAATGCCAGGTGACCTCAATCCACGGGGAATAAACTCATCAAACTCATTCTGTGCCCGTCTTCCAAAAAAAAAAAAACTCAAAATAAAGGCTCATCTGCTGTATTTCAAGAGTCAACCTTTGACTGATCAAACCGTAGCGCGAGGGGCTTGCAGTATTCATGCGTTTGGGGTTAGTTGTCGGAGCATAACCTCAAATGACTGCCAAGCGGAAGATCAGTATCAGGAAGCGCATCTTTAAGTCATGTGTATTTGCCTCGGTCGTGAACGAGATTCTCATGGGTATCAATTATGTAAGCAATGACCTCATGACACACTTGTCTGATGTGGTTTTATTCGGTTGCCTTGTTTTGACCTGACCTGTACTCGGTGCAAGCTGAAGGTTGTGGGTTCCTGTCCACTTGTGGGATTCTTTTTCAATCCATGTCAGGGCAAGTGTTCACCTTTTTGTTGATAGGGATTGGTTGATTTTGTCCCATTTGGCCTCGAATATGGTTTCATTCTGTTCAGTATATGTTTTGTTCAATTGACATTTTTTATGGTCTCCGTTTCATTGTGGTGAAGTCATGTGAATTAATCTGCTTTGAAGTTGCGGCCGCGTGAGTGATGTGTAGCCTCCTGTAGCTCTCCCACCCTCACAAATCGTCTTCGGTACAGTAACCAAGTACTGGGAGTGAACTTTATACTTTTCACAACTGCCTGTTATTCGCTTGGGACATATTTACTCTCCAGATTGGAGGCATGATAAATAGTTCACGTGATATGTTGTGGTCATCGCTGTTCCACTTAGCTTCCTGTAGGTGGTGCTAAGGTGCATTTCAATTTGCAGCACATTTCAGCCATCTCTGGACGCCTTGACAGTTCAACCACACTGCATTTAGATAGATACACAACAACAATAATTGACACTCTCACAAATATCAATTTGGGTACTGACTGCGCTCATAAAGTAATAAAAAATATAATAAATGCAAAGAAAAAGTGTGCCATTTCAAATGTTGCAATCTTTCAAATGTTATATGGGCTTGTTCTGTACGTTGTACAAACAGCTTTACTCAAGTGACAAGTGATGGAGGACTACTGATAAGAAAATCTGTTATGTACCAGAAATGCAAACGTGTGCTCATGTTTGATTAAGGAAACGCCTCGGAAGATGTCATACTTTTAGGGACTGTCCACTTTTTTTTTTTTTTTTTTTTTAAACCACAGCTTGTTCGGTACAAGTGCAGTTAGCGAAACATTTATGCGTCTCCCGTTTGAATATTCAGTCAGCTCTGTTCTAATTAAGACCCATTTGATCAGAGTGTGCATGTGATCAATGTTTTTGTTCCCAGTCTCGCTTCGCTCTAGAGAACTCCACACACACACACACACACACACATTCACACACGCATCCACGGAAACATGGTCGGGCGTGTGTTCGCATTCGGTACCGTGTTCAACACTGCGCAAAAAAAAAACCTAATGGACGCGCAACTATCAGCCAGAACCATCCCTGGACAGTTGAACATGTTCTGTGTGGAACATCAAAACCGCAGTCCGAGCCAAATGTTCCGTTGGGGAGACACAAGGGCCCTGTTAGCTACCTTGATTGAATTTGTCTTACAGGGCTGCAAGCCGCTTCTTTGTAACCTCACGATGTACACGGCTTGATAGATGATGGGAGTGCAGCATCGGTGTTATTTCAGCGCAAGAACAGTATTTTTAGCCCGCGGGCGTAATGCACTGGAGAGTTTGTCAATCACTTCGGAAGATTGCGCGGGAGCTCGAATTCCCGTCACCGCATCGTCTAAAAGGGACGGCCGGTGCTCATATTTCTGGTGGCCGTTTTATTTATTTTTTTTTTACACAAAAGATAATGCAATGTGGCCATGGGTTGGTATTTTTTTCTTCTCTGATGAAAATTGGATGAAAGGAGGAAAAGAAAAGTGCGCACCATGCATTTGATCAAGCAAATCTTTATGCTGTTAATTCACTGACGTTGAAAACGTCATGTGCTGGTCTCTCGTTTGATTTTCTTGGAGTTTGTTTTCAAACGTGAGTCAATCATATAATTTATCTCACGCTTGTCTTGTCCGTCTCTGTCTTACACTCTTTGTTCCTCTGTCTCTTTCTCTCTCTCATTCCGCTCTCTGTGTCGTTCCGCCTCGATATTACATAATGTTGTCGTGTGTCGGACGAAAATGTCTACCGTACGATATAAGCCTCGTGTTTTCAAAGTTATTCCGAAGTGTAGGTTTGTTGCGACAGTAAAGTCGCCCATTCAACTCTTGTGGTTGAGATTGCACGACTATCTGTCGTGGTTTTGTATTATTTTGTCATTTTATGTTAACTGTTCTTTTGATGGTGGCGCGGGCACCCGCAGCGGCTCCTCTCTCTCTCTCTCTCTCTCTCTCTCTCTCCTTCTCCTGTGTTTGCACTGTGGTTGAGAGGGAAAGAAATTTCATTTGTGGTGTCGCGCACACTGAATGAAATTTCATGTTGCACATGTCGCACATTTGACAATCAAGTTGACTTAAACTTGAACTTTTACTCTCTCGGACCAAACGTGCCAACTCCGTTCAAACTACGAACCCTAATTCATGTAGAACCGTTTCATCTTACGTGCAGGCTACACGACAAATTGGTGAATAACTAGTTTTAAAATCAGAGGCCAATAAAAACATTTTTTTTTTCAAATATAATTAAATTTCTTTTGAAAATGGGGGGTTGGGAATAAAAATGCTTGCTGTATCTCAACATTTTAAAAAGTGAAACAATTTGCAATTTTGGTATTTCAGCAAGAAACGCTGCATGTCATTACTAGTAACTCAAAAGATGTCAAATATTTTCAACCACCTTTTTGCTTTATTTGTATTCTTATTTTATTCTTTTTTTGGGGGGGGGTGTAGGTTTTTGAAGAAGGAAACTCGGTTTATTGGAGAATGTGTCCATCACCGCATGAATAACAACAGTGGCTTGCCAGTCTCACAGACTAGTTACTGAAGCACATGATCCTGCTCCGAATATGCCTAAAAAAAACAAAAAAAACAACAACAAAAAACAACTTTTGGGTGATATGCAATCACTCTTCATCAACACTGTCATAATAGAATTTCAGTTCAGTTTATTCAGCACCTGAGCAAACCCAGGCTGTCTTTTATCACCACATGGAGTCTATTTCCGTTCAGGTTTTTCTTTCAGGTTTTTCTTTATCCTTTTTCTTTCTTTCTTTCTTTTTTTTTGAACCAATAGAGGAAAAAAAAGGGGTTGCCATGGCGATATCTAGTCCTTTCTGGCTCAGCCATCCAGTCATCTACGCACTTCCTCAACCCACAGAGTGTTATTTAGACTTTGGCAAACAAAGTCATCCATACAGCGTCGTTATTTCAAAGCATTCCAATATATTGCCTCGAAGATTCATTCAGACGTATGCAAGTTCGACCTGAACAATTTCACATTTCTCAAGCACAGTGCCGATTCATATACGATGGGATGAAAGACGAAAGCTCATGGTATCATCTCGTTGATATTTCAGGTGGCAACGTGGGAGCACCGCACACGGAAACTCTCCAAGATTTTTGGAAGCCCCTACCTCGCCTGTTACTTCCTGGGCTTTGTCATCATCCTCCTCAATGTGTATCGCAGCCACAGGTACGACGACACGCCTTCCTGTTATGTTTAACCAATCAAACCTTTTTTTTGTTTTCTTCCCGAATGGAATAATTGAAAATATATCATTCTGCATTGTGATCGGAATTCAACCCTTTCATGCATTTCATGCACCCTGTAACCTGATAAGATGTCCACTGTAGTAACCGCTGTCCCTGAAAGGGTTAAAATGGATTCATGGAATGTGCTTGCGGGATTTCATCCAAAAGAACATTTTTCAAGTCGGCCATGTTGGACGTGAGGAAGCGCCTCTCACTCTTTCTAGTTTTGAGGTCACCACATATTGACAAACAGCCATTCACATTGACATTCACATCTATGGACAGGTATTCCTCAATTAACCCCAAATCGGTCAATTATAAGACCGTAGAGCCGCTCGGCTTTCCTTTTGTATCTCTGATTTCTTGCCTCTTAGCATCACATTTTGTTCTTGATACCACGCATACTCCCACACTTCCCACTATGGATCAAAATGGCAACAGAAGCTTTGGAGGACTTTGTGCTCCCTTTTTCTCAGGCGATTTGTGTTGCCTGGGAACAGCACTTTTCGAAAACACGGTTGCCGACAACAGCGTTGTATCCTACCGGACTGCTCCTCGTCGTCGCTCGTGTTGCTCAAAAAGACCTCGTGTGAGTTTATTGCAGTATAGGACTACATTAGACCAAAATAGTGACTAAATCCGTGCTGTGCAGAAGGGTGTTCTTATCTGGATTCATTCCACCCCCAATTTTTTTTTTTTTTTTTTTTTTTTAAATGTAAATATAGCAGAGTTACTTAAAAGGAAAACAAAATTGCTCGTGGCAGGCCTGCAGAGGATAACAATATTCGTCTCAGAACCGCACGGCGGTCATGCTTTATGGGTGCCTCTGTTCTGTCACTGACGCGTAGGTTTCGTCTCCACACAGCGTGTAATCATACACTTTTTAAAAATTGACCTAATTATTGAACAAAATTAAGTCAACGTGCATTTGGCGAAAAAAAGAAAAAAAAATCAACTGTTGTGGTGGAGTCATAACGCTAAAAGCCTTCTGTCCAAAATTGCACTTCTTGTCGTGCAAACAACTTTATTGTGAAACGCCACGTCGGATGACAAATGTAGGTCAGTACAACGCTGCCCTGTAAAACCTTTTATTTAAATATCAGTGGTGAATGGGACTGCATTTAGCCACGCATTGCCCATCTAACTTTCAAGATTTTTTTTTTTCTTCAAGCCCCCTTCAATGGCAAAGCTGCCCGCTCCCCTCTTTTTCAAAAGACTGTGTGAGCTGTGTTTTGTCGAATAGATTCGGCCTGTAAAAGAAGTGCATACTGCAAATAGTTCAGCTTTCAACTTTGTAAGATGGCGACACATACCAGGAAAACCATTTCAAGCATTAAAAGCCAACAATTTAGTTGCCAAGGCTAGGCTGGTTATGCCTGGGAATCTATAGTACTCCCGTCTACTATTTTAATTGCATTTTTATTTTTCATGAATAAATAATCAAAATAAAATAATCAAAATAAGTTTTTATAATCAAAATAAAAACTGTTATGAATTACTCAAAACTATGATCGCCCTAACTCCAACTCACACGTGACCCTGAACAGGAAAAACATTGTAGAAAAGAAATTGATAGAAGCAACTTATTATACTTAATTACTCTCTTTGTTTCTTCACAATAACTTTTAAAAACTAATTTCCTGTTTTAAATGGCGTAAATCCTCGTAAATTTGATTCTGTGGTTAAAACAAGCTGTTTTTGATGTTCCAGTTTCACAAATTTACATTAGTCAGTCTTTCATATACGTTTCACATACTTGCTGTTAACTAATCCATTGCGTCGGATCCCATGTTTTCTGCTATTTTCACTTCCTGTACGTCTAGAAATCAGTTTGTCATTCAGTTGATCGTTAAGAACACTTTCAATTGGGTGCAATTGATTGTTGATTAGCCATGGAGGCAGTGGTACTCAATCTCTGCTAGTAGGCAAACAAAAACAAGATTTGAGCTACATCGACTCATATTAAAAGCAAATTATTAGTTATTCATGGAGGTCTCCTTGTTGTTAATCAAATAGGATACCTTGCTACCGATAGTGGCATACGCAGTAAACGACTGTTCCCCACCACTGATTAAAAAAAAAAAAAAAAAGTATTTTTGTCGTCGTTTAGGTTATTTTCGACTCAACTGCTTTCTCGGATATTTGATACTTCGAAGATTTTTAGATTTTGAGTCTTTATTTCGAAGAGGTCTGATTCTAACCCGAAGCTATCCGATGAATAAGCCACAGCTAACACTGTGCGCCTCCCGCCGTGCGTATATATGCCAAAGGCCGTGTCTAAGCTTATGAAATGTGCGGTTAATTGTTGTCAATTATTCATTGGTGTCAGTGCTACCCTCTGTTCCAAGAGTGTGCGCGGAAAAGAATGACAGTGAACACAAATGACAAACCCATCATAGTTAGCTAACGATATAGCTAAAGCCCTCATCCGTTTTTTTACAAAATAAAGCAAGCCCATTCAGAGATCTAACTACAACCTTGCCTACGCCCCGTTTCTCATTTCTTTTCCTATCCCGATCCCAGCAGTATGTTATGCGGGCCCATCTTACTTAACACATTGCCCAGCAGTCGTTCTTTCAGTTTGATTTGATGCTACAACCCACCGCATCTCTTGGCAATTCCTTTCTAACAAAGCCACCGCTCCATAAGAGTCGCAGCGCAGACCCCCTAACCCAGTTTTTTCTTATTAACCCCAAACCTAGTTTCGATTTGGAGCCATTCTGATCCGCTGTGCTCAGGGGAGTGATGTCTGCTGAACTCTGGAGCACAGTAGCTGAGTGGGCTGCAGGCAGCGCGCAACGAGAATCACAAAATGAGGTGGCACACTTCAATGTAGGCACAGTAGCGTGCCACTAACAGACTAATCGGTCTGTTTGAAAAGAAAACCGCTGGTGCTAAATTAACCACAAAACTACACAATAACATTATAGCAGCGCTTTAAAAGATGTGGCTATTAGCCCGGTGTTTCCAAAACACACATATACACACAAAAAGTGGGGAAGTTTAGGTGCAGGAGTTAGCTTGTTTTATTTCAGTGATATTCAGGCAAGCATTTCTACGAAAACAATTGGGGTTTAAGTCAATGTAATTCTTGGAGGGTTTAGCAAGAGCAACATCCTGTCCAAAAAAGATAATAATTAGGAAAACGTTATCTCGCTGTTTGATTTTTATGGGCAAAATAATGCGTCCATTGTTAACATTAACTACCCAAAGGGGATTATGAAATGGCCGCCTCATGGTTGTCATTATGCAACACATAATCCAGAGTGAGGTCATCAAAAAATCTTCCGAGACATACAATACAATACCTCTTTATTGATAGAGCGCTTTCCCCAACAGCTGCAGCTGCAACAAAGCGCTTTCAAAAACAGTTCACACAAAAAAGATCTTTCTGAGTACAGCTTGACTATGTGAGCGACCCACATTCAATGAAATGGTCCAAAATGTAAGCAAGCACACAATCGGGTCACCGTTCCATCCAAAAGGTGATTTTTCTTGACTATTTATGATGCAGCCACTTGCACAACAACAAATAGTGGCCTATTTTTCACACCCTGTGTTGCACATTTTCGTTTTGGGCCCCAATCATTCATGTTTGACTTTTTAATACAAGAATTAATTCTGTTTTTCCATTGCAATTGACAATTATCATGCCTTACTTTCTAATAAAGATGCAGTCCTTCGGCAAATCCAGTCAATGCTCCTCAAAGAAGAAAAATAGAAATATCGTACGTCGATACTTTCTGTGGCGTTCCAATTGTAGAGAGCGTCCTCCCCATGCAGTAATGTCACGTTGTCACTGGGCCTGTAGTGATGACATTTTGCTTAACACATGGAGCCCGATGACGTCAAACATTTGCATCTGGAACAGGACTTCTCATTACTCGGGCTTTCTGAGTTTTTTTTTTTTTTTTTTTTTGAAAGGTCAATCTCTGTTTCATGGTAGGATTTTTAGTGCCACATGAAGATCGTCAATTAGAGTCAACACAGGTGTTTAAAAGTTGATAAATACATATTTTGGGACGGGGCAGCCTGGTGGATTGGCGGATCGCATATCTGCCTCGCAGTTCACAAATTTGAGTTTCGGTTTCCAGGCTCGGGCTTTCCTTATGCTTGGGTGAGGGTTGTCTGGGTACCCTAGCTTCATCCCACATTCCCCAAAAATGCCTTGAAGAATTTTAATAGCCCACAGGTGTAAATGTGAGTGTGAATGGTTGTTAGTCTGTATGTGTCCTGCGATAAATTAATGCTGGGGGGGGGGCTGAACTGCGATAGGATCCACCTAATCTGTGACCCACCTGAGAAGAAACAATATAAAATAGATGGATAGATGAAAGAAGCATTTTTGGATGCATTTTGGCCCTTGTCCCACAAGCATACACCATTTAAAGCGGTGTTTTTGCATTTAAAAAAAAATAATACATCTATATATATATATATATATATATATATACATGTATATATATGATCTAATATAAAAATATCCTGATTGTGCTGTCCACATTGTATTCTGACTGCACCGTGGCGGCGCTCTCGTGATGAACATTTTCAACACGACATGTCGTTCCGTCCTCGCGCCCTCGCAGCACATCCGCGGTGAACGGGTTCGTTGACGGCACGTTACCAAGTGCAGTGTGAAAAGGCCCAGACTGAACTTGCTGTAACGAAGAGAAAAAAAAAAAAAAAACAGCAATTTTTTTATGCCGTGACTCTTCAAAGTCATGTTAAAGTAGGCCAGCGGTTTTTATTGGCACTTTTCGTCTGAGCTCGCTTCCATTTCTCATTAATACCGTTTCGAAGAAGCTGACAAAAGGTTGAACGTCAGTCCCACTCTTCCGATTCGACCTCTTTCTCTTTTTTTGAAAGAATAGCTCAGCTATGTCCGGAATTTTTTTTTTCACCTCGCAGTCCTTTCACTGCTCCCTTTCGCATCTTAAAAAAAATGTCTCTACTGGCGACACTTTCGGAACGGCTGCAGGAATTTCCATGCCACTCAGAAAAATTTCAAAATAGGAAACAAACTGAAAGGCCACCAGTGTCGTTAACAGAGGGCTCCTTTGGCTCATTAAATTCATTTAATTGGATTCCGACGACAAATATAGTCACCGGGTGTTGTGAATAAAACTCTAGCACCAGTCACATATTTATCCTGTTGCCGTAAATGGGTCCACTCAACCTTGAACGACGGTGGAATAAAATGGCTTTGCTTTGAATTGCCTCCCAGTACCACTTCAGTCGGTATTCATTTGGAATCGGGCTTACAACAACACACTAATGCAATCATTGTGATCTGGTTTTCCCTGCAGTATGGCCATCGTGATGAAGACCCAGGCCAGGTGGGAGGTACTCAACAGGATTGAGGTCTTCATCCTGGGCGTGCTCCTCATCGCAACGGGCTCTCTGCTTGTCGTCAGCAGCTTTCTCGCGTTGGGATTCACTGGGACTTTCCTCGGTAAGTTGAATTGGTTTGAGATGTGTCGATGTCACCTGATCTCCCCTCCCGCCAATATGTCGCAAAGTCATAAAATACATTTGTCTTACCTTTGCCGGTCAGTTGCCGTGACTTATTCGTCGTCCGCTTGCCCATCAACCTACTTTTTGCCACTGATATCTTCAAATAGGTCAGATCATAAATGAGTCAGCCTTGGCGAAATCCAACACGCACTGTGAAGAAATTTAACTTACTGTCGGGTATGCAGATGAAATTCTGACACCGGTCGTAACAGCGAACAAGGGGTCTGGTACTCGGTCAGCCGTTCTTTCAATGTGCGAGGGAGGTGAAGTAGCACATTGAAAAAAAATAAAAATGTCATGGCCTCGTGGCCTTACATCTGGTGCGCAAATATTTCGCATTGTTTTATTCGCATATTTTGACTTTTGCATTGGCGTTTGGATTTCACTTGGTTGATTTCGTTCGAAGTTGTTCCAGGTCATTTCCAAGATAGAGCTGTTTATTTATTTTTTTTCCACAATTGCAGCACCTTGTTAGTGTTTTCATAGATACACCTGGCCACCGTATCCATGACTCCCGGCCCTGCAACTTTTGCTCACCTCCAAAGCTCCAAATGCAGTATTTTCTGAAAAGTTGTGTCTCCTCCAATGTAGATGTAAATACAGGCGGAGCGGTTGATCCGTTGCCTAATATTTATGATTGAATGTCCAACCCCAGATGCTTCTGTCTACAGCTAAAGTTAAGGAATTTGCTTCGCTGGTGCATATCATTGACCCTTTGTCGGTACAGTAGCCAGGCATTCCAATATTTATGTCCGTTTAATTTAAATGATATCGAGGACAGTAGGTCTCATTGTAATGCCAACCCCGGCCGGTCATACCTCTTATTTTGGAACACGAAAATTAGGAGAGAACTGTATGTATAATACTGTATTCGGAATGTTCACAACGAAGGCTTTCAATCGACTTAATGTATGCTCACAAGTGGCTGGGCTAATCAAACTTGTAAATATGTACATATTTATACCTTGTATAAATGGCCTCTTTCGTCAAGGAAACAAACGGGATTTCAAAGTGAAAATCCCTCAGCCCACAATAAGGTCACGGTGTTGTTGGCCCAATGAAAACACAATTACCCCTCACGAACATTAATGCCTCCGCGGCACGATGGGATCATCAACACCCAGACGCTCTCGGCCTCTCGGGCAGATTTCGAAGCAGTAGTACACGTAATTAGGATTTAATTTAGCGAGGACGGGGGGGGGGAAAAAAACAAACGTATGCTCAAATGTAAGCCCTCCCGACCCACGCGGGCCTTAAGAGACTAAAGCCCGTGTCGATTCCGTGTGTCATCTGCGCTCTATATTTAACCCCCTCAAGTCACCGTGACCTGATGAGTCAAGGCGATGGAGCAGAAACAAAGATCATCATCAAACGACACGGGGCGCTAATGTGTCCGCCACCTGGCATGACAACTTGGCCATTTTATTGCCACTCCGCACTTGAGGGAAACCAGCTTTGGCCTCTTTTTTCCCCCGCCACCAACCTCAACTGAAACCAAACGTCGGTGACACATGAATGCAGCAGGTTGCACTTGGCTTTGAATGGTTTGGATTATGGATGCATGGATGTTGGTGCTCCAGAAGCCAAAAATTGGGTTAACTTAATGTTATGCCTCCGTATGGCAATTCCACCCCCTCCCCATTTCAAAAACAAACAATTGCCTCCAAAGCCGTAGGGGTCTCGATGATGTTGCATCACTGCGCCAGTTATATAACTTGGACATTAGCAGCACACAAGGCCACAGGATGTGTTTTTTTTTTTTTTTTAAACTTTCCCTCCCCTTTACTACGGTTACTTCCTCTTCCACTTGGTCGAACTGTGTCCATGTGTGTACAAGATCTGGGTGAAGTGTCTATCGCGTGGTGCTCAGGTTGCAGTGAATGGCCGTGAAGGATAAAACGATGTTGCCCTTCAGCTGTCACTCCAGTTCTGTTGTTGCAAGCTCACAACTTAAATGGGCCGAATATTTTTTTTTCAGAGTTTATCTGTAGAAACTCCCATTCCGGGACAACTTCTGTTGGAAATACAGTAAGACCGCAGTGAAAGGTCACATGTAAAGAGCTGGATTTGCCAACCTGTGGCTGATAAAAACTAACCGCTCCATCTAATCAAAAGGATAAACTGCAATATGATTGTAAAATAGACGGATGTCAGCCATTTTTAACATTGCAACACTGATCTTAACCCTTTCATGCACCCTGTAACCTGGTAACACGATAAGCTGTCCACTGTAGTGACCGCTGCCCCTCAAAGGGTGAAAGACACACACACACACATTGAGTATTGACTTGAAGACGTCAACTCATTTGAAGTGATGCCAAATTATATTCCGTGAAATAACATTGGGCTGAATGTGTTGCGTAATTCTTACCCACTTAAAAAGAAAAAAAAAAACAGAAAGCACAGCTAGCCCATTCGTTGTCGACAACATACAAATGCAGCATTCATGACAAGGCACAGCGTTCTTAACACAAAAGTGCATTTGTCCCTTTTTTTTTTTTTTTTTTTTTTTAACATTTTGAGGGAATTAATCCAGCACAAGGGGGAACATCTTGAATATGTCATACGTCAAAAAAGGACAACTCTAGAACCACGAGGGCAGTTGATTCTCATGTCCTCTTTAATGGCAACATGTTACATTAAATGGCTGTACTGATGTCTCTTACGTACTCTGCAGGTAACTACTTCGGCATTGTGATGGACGAGAAGGTGACGGGCTTCCCTTTCAACCTCGCAGAGAATCCGATGTACTGGGGCAGCACGGCGAACTACCTCGGCTTAGCGCTGATGTAAGTGTTTCTTTGTATTTACACTGCACGCCGTCTTGCGTGATCGGATAGGCAGCGGTCGCGGTCAGCCTCTGCGACTTATTTCCACTGATTTGTCACAAAGCCTTTAAGTGCGGCATCACGAATGCAACGTTGATAAATGTGCGTGAAATTGCACTCCGAATACTGGGGGAGCTGATGTGGAAACGGCCCGCATGATAGTCCGCAAATGAATCGATGTTTTCTCTAACTTAGCTCCTTCTTGAAACGGCGGGGAAATATGTTTCCGTGGAAACCGGGAGCACTCCATAACCTCGGCCTGCGTCGTTGAGGCAAGTGCTTGGGGGGGGGTTAATGAACTACCAACAGTTGCTGTATCGGCTCTTTTCTGTCGCTCACCCCGGCGCTAAATCCATCACCTTGATCGTCCTTTTGCGACGAACGTTTTCCGAGCTCTCCCGTTCTGGGTTAGTTCATTTTGAAGACGCCAATCATATCATTGGGGTCTATGGCATGTTAATGAGCCGTTCTGTCTTACATCACCTTTGTTGAATAATTGTGATGAGTTCTTTCTCAAAACTACTCTTTTCACGCTGTTTTTCTTCAGGTTCTGCATTCTTATCATATATGAACGCATGTACAAGGAATGTGAAAGGTTACAGACGCAAATATAAATACAAGCTTATTAGCATATAAAACAATGAGACGAGATTATTTCAAAAGGCTTTCCACCATTGTGACCAATACCCTGTACAATTCTTTAATTCAATTTTTTTTTTTTTGGGGGGTGCATGTTTTAGTGACAGCAACCAAATAACTCAGATGGTTTGTACACTTGTGCAACTCTCACCCGCGTTCCTCATATGTGTCGTTTGTGAGTGCATCAGGAGCCACGAACACAAATACATTTACCGTATTTTCCGCACTAAAAGGCGCACCTAAAAGCCTTCCATTTTCTTAAAAGCTCACAGCGCGCCTTAAAATCCGATGCGCCTTGTGTATGGTCATTACGGTAACATTAAAAAATTGACAAAATAGGCCATTCATTGAAGGTGCGCCTCATAATCCGGTGCGCCTTTTAGTGTGGAAAATACGGTAATATATTGTGAGTTCTGTTCAATCTTGCCATTGCCGTAGGCAAGTATGATGAGGTGGGACGTCGGTTTCTGCAACAAGCGCGTTTGGCATTTGCCATCGAAAGTGTCTGGAGCATGCGTACGGAAGAGGTTGAGTGGTCAAACCATGCATTCATCCAGTAAAATGCGAGTGCCGGTGAACGTATCTCTGTCACATCTGCCACGGGTGAAAAATGTCCTAATTATCATCTTAGCAGATGCAAATGAGGAGTATGAATAGCAAGACGAGGAAAAAAACCAAAACGTTATCCTTCTGCCCCTCGCTGTTCCAGGCTCCTACACATTAGGCAGCCCGCTGTGTAACCAGGATGGGAGTTTAGCTGACACACATTAGAAGCACTTAGACGAGATGACTGGTTACATGAGCCAGAGTCGTGTTGTTCGAGAAGCGGGATGCTAGGATGTGAATCGGTCACATGATGGTCCTTCTCTTTTGTGGCAAGATTGGGGTGTCTTTATATGCAGAGTATCACTTCAGCCCCAATGCTGTGCTGGAAAAGGGACTCTGACGTGGGGCAATTACGGAGCCGTGGAGCCATCGGTCAGTTATGTTGGCCAAGATAATGTGCTTGCTCTAATTTCAACACTTTTGGGCTTGGGTTGATATGAGACTATTCAGTGCCACCATATATATATTTGACCAACTGTTTCATAAGGCTGATACAAAGCAGGCTTTTGAAAGACACCTCCCCCCGCCCCCCATTTTTTTTTTCCTTCCGTGATGATCAGGTGTATTTTTGTGCCTTTTAAAAGCATTCTCCATTGTGCCTTTGAAAAGCGTTCTCCATTAAAATTGAATAAAATTCACAAGGACTGTGTCTAATGATCACATGAGAAACAGAAGGACAAAAAAATTAAAGGGATACTTTTGGGCATCTTTTTTTAATTTTTTTTTTTAACTTTTTCAATCAGATACCACATTTTTTCCCCGTCACGATACCAGTTCGAGTACGTACAGTATGTATGTATGTATACTCAGCGATGAGTACTGTACAGTATAAACCAGATGTTGCATGGCTGATGTGTCAAACTGCCGCAGTATAGCGCCACCTTGTGCAGAGGAGGCCTTGAAGTCAGATCCCCCCCAACCCCATACCTTCAAATAAGCCTTCCTAACCGGCATCCTTCTTTTCTTTCCATCAATTTGGGAGGAACATCCAGTTCTTCGTAATATTACTGTTGTGCCATATTTTTTCCACTTGAAGGTAACTGTCCTGGCTAAGGTGTTCCACCCCCCCCCCCCCCCCCCCCCCAAGTTATAAGAGGTTGCACACACTTGATTTCAGTGATCAGAATATCGTGCTGAGACTAGTGTGGCTGCGGACAGCATATTATTGTCAAGAACATTTGGGGGTTTACTTCCCCCTTAAGTCATCACCACATCCGCAGATGCGCTCTATGCTATGTATTCATTTGCATTTTGGCCCCTGAAACAATGCGCTTCACTGTTTCTCCACAGGCAGGCCCATATATGAAATTTGAAATATGGTTAGGTATTGTTTTAAATCACTACAGTATGTGCTATATTATCGCTTGATTGATGGCAGCCTGCTGGATTTTGTAATTGCTATTTTAGAACTAATGTATTTACTGTGTGGATAAAATGTGGTCTTTATTCAGAGACGCGAGCGTATTCAGGGATGCGTTCACAAAAAAAAAAAAAAAGGTGTTGTCGGATTGTGTCGTTCGGCTATTCATAGTGCTCTGACTGGAGACGCGGAGCGTCACAGTATCAGGCACGACAAGATGGAAGCAACACAAGCAAGATTCGAGGGTTGTGGGCTGATGGGAGATTTGACAACAAAACATTCCGAAATTTAAAGAAATGGAGCACACTCTGCCCAGGAATCCTCACGCTCTCAGATTAGGGCTAGTGGGCCAGGTTTCATCAATGCACATAGAAAACATCGTGACCCCCTTCGTCTTTCCAATCTTCATTTTTCCGTGAGGACACGGTAGCAACACAGCGCAGTCTTTTTGACATTAGTGTGAAATCCGAACGAAGGCAAACGCACAAGAGGCTGCAGGAGCATCATCCTTCTAAATCGAGAAAAAAAGAAAAATTGCACAAAGGCGTCTCCAAGTAACTATGAGGCATAAAGACCAAGAAGATGTAAAGATTCATGGCTGAAGAAGTATTTTTGAAAATAGAAAAATGTTTTCAATGCCACATCATTAGCTCTTGCATAAAATAACATGTTCTGACCCGTAGGGGCCTTGAGTTTGTCACCTTGACTAAACGTTCCTTGCGAATGACTGCTGACGACACAATGGTGTACTTTGCCTTTTACCCAAAATCAGCCCTGGCAGACATTTGATTGCAAATAATACCACATCCCCCGCACGAGTCAGCTTTGTGAACTCGTCTCGTTTTGTACCATTACTGGCCCCGAACAGCCAGCTCATCCCGTCACCCGAGGACAAGCGCCGTTAAAAATGCACGGATGAATGCAATGTCGAAGTAGGTTAACGTATACCTTGACTTACATCTGAAGACTGTTCTCATCACGAAATGTAAACGCATACCTTTTTGCCCATCATTTCAAAAGCATGTCAACAAACCTTGAGCAGCCTTTTCAAAGCACGTCTTACTGCTTTGAAAAGTCTGCACAATAGCGGTTTCTATGTTCCTCTTTCTACCCTTGCTACTTGAGGTCAGCATTCGCACTCACGGCCGACGAAAACGTCACGGCAAACCTCGTCACAAGCACGCCCGCTCGCCTTCCAAACTTTCCGTTCCATCAGCTGACATTTGTGTTGTAGCATTCGAGTCGATTTTTCAACGGCTGTTTTTAGTGCGCTCTCTCGTCTCACGCCGGTCAGAGCAACACTCTCTTCCGAAATCATGTGTCTGGAGCTTTTGGGTTTTTTTTTTTTCTTTTTGTTTTTTTTTGTGGATTCCAATAAAAAGGATGTCAAATAATGGTGGTCAAGCGCAAATAGACGTTGTAAATCCAACCAAGGGGCAACCTTCAAAATCAGGTTGAGGTGGCAGAAGTACTCACCATGTGGAGTCTGTATTTAACTCATTCAGTAGCAGCCAATTCTGGACCAAGTCTGAAAAGATGTTTAAAAACGTCTTTGGGAGTGAATGAGTTAAGTCGAGGTACAAAAAAAAAATCCAATAAAAAGTCAAATTACAATAATTGACTGAACTATTCGGCATTGAAAAGCTGAGATAGTCACATTAAGTTCACCAGGTATAGGTTTGAATGCTTTTCAGGCTCGTCCTGAAATTTCACCTGAAAGCCAAATATCCCGAACGTTTTGACAGTCGTGTCTACTGTAGACTTAATTGATCCAAGAAACTTGCTATAAAGCTAAACAATCAATCAGTCCGGGTGTTCCACGGGGAATCGTTACAGTCGATTGCCTGTTTGTGGTCTTGCAACTGGGAATTAAACCAACATGCAACAAGACACCACTCTAGTCACAGCAAATGTCAAAGGTCAATTTTCCTATGGGGGGTGGGGGTGAGGTTGGCGTGTGATCAGTTTCAGTCAGAAACACCCAATTTAGGATGAGCACGTTTGCTCGTCTTATCGTCGTAATGTAACCCAAGGGGAGTATCAATCGTACGAGATGGAGTGGTGCATCTCAGTCATACGGTTATCTCTCTTGGTCATGTGCTCTGCTTGTGTGACGAGAACACCTCAGCAATGATTTTTGAAAAGGTCACTTGTCTGCCACGGGCAAAAAAAAAAAAAAATCTCCTGGCTCCGCTTTTGTCATCTCTTGTGTTGATTAACATGGTTAAGTGACGTTTACACAACAACATTTCGATATACTGTACACTCAATTGTGTATTTGTGGCATAATTCATCATGTAAAAAAAAAAAAAAATCCAAACAAACGCCAAAGAAAGAGCAAACAGCAGCAGTCTGCGGAATGTTGAGACAGATCTTGGTTGAATTCAGGAACGTGCGACTTTGTGAGCCTTCATTTACATGTTCTCACGGTGCATCATGCAAGCATCTTGAAATCCCATATGGCCGTGCACCAACCCATGGCGCTTATTCATGAGCACAGTCACTTTGTGTGCACCGACGCAGTAGACAGTCTGTCTGGGTAAAATAAAGAAATAAATGAATAAATAAAATCGTGGCATTGTAAATTAGCACTCCAGATGGTATGAGCATTTGCGCTATGAGCTGCAGCTTGTTTTCCCAAATAACCTGACACAACTTTGCTCAATACACAGCCATGATCATCTTACAGCGTGCTGGCACTCATTGAATTGACTATTTTTAAAAGAAGTGCCTTTCGTCGATTTATAAACATATTTCTGACACTGTCATTGTGGAGGGTGTCGAATTTTAAAAGACGGGACATGATTAGGTGAGGGATGGACTCATTAATTTCATGTTCTCCCTCTGTGTTTTATTTTATTTTTTTGCCATATATGCTTGAAGGAATCTAGGGCTCGTCTCGACTGAACCAACCTCCTTATGCAGGCAATATTGATCGAAAGGATGACTTCTACCGACTGAGATCCATTAACTGCACATTTGCAAGTGAATATAAACTCCTCATCGTCGCCATGTTTCCATCCATTTTCTAATCCGCTTTAACCTTCCGTTAACCTGCCGTGCATGTTTTTGGAACGTGGGAGGAAACCGGAGTACCCGGAGAAAACCCGCGCAGGCACCGGGAGAATATGCAAATTCCACGCAGGAAGGCCAGAGAGCCGGAATTGAACCTTGCGCCTCTGCACTGTGAGGCGGACGTGCTAACCACTCGATCGCCGTGCCGCCCTTGCCATGTTTCCGTTAAACTCTACCATTTGGATACTGAGCTCATGTCAAAGTGAACTGCAGAAAAATCCGATTATAAAAGCAACAAAATATGTTTTTGCATATTCATAATAATTTAAGCATGATTGAATTGTTCTGTCCGGATGTCGAAAGGGTTGTTAAAATGGTCAGCGCACGCAATCAAATTTGTGCATTTTGGCAATTGATGCTTGAGGCAAAATGACCAAGTGGCTCATTAACGGAATGAATGAGCCCGCAATTAGTAAACAACGGAGAAAAATAAGGTCACAGCATGATCGAGTCATTGCGACCACACTGACCATTTTTTTTTTTTCCTTCTTCGTGTGTCACCATCACTGTCTGGCGAACTGGGTCAGTTTTATAAGCTTCATCAACAATTCAGCATAATGTCTCACCGCCATGTTATGGCGGTCATGTACATCGTCTTCTTTTCACGTCGTGAAGTACAAACAAATTTGGTCACGGCCGATTGGTTGTTGTGACTAAGAAGTCAGACTATTATTTATTTATTTATTTAAAAAAAAGTTTTGGTGTTGAATGCAAAAATATTTTGTACTTGAGACGTGAAGGCTCTTTCTTCCTGGTCCACCCACAGTTTGTCGAATTATTTTTCATTGACCTCGTGCCCTTCTCTACTTTCGTTCTGCTTTTCAAAATTTAGTGTACCTTCTGTATGAGTGATTTTTTTTTTTTTTAATTATTATTCCTGACTAAAAAAGAAAAAAATAGTGCGAAGTGTGTCAGTGGGCCACTTTCTCAGCAGGAGGATGTAGGTCAGTGTATTGTGCAGTGTATGTGTTTCATCTGCAGCTGTCACCAGACATCATTTCAGACGGATGCATAAAAAAATTCTATCAGTCGACGTCACAATGTAGCCTTTCCTGTTTGGTAGCATCAATTTATATTCAGCTAAAGTTGGCTCCAAAATACGAATATGATATCATTGGCCATTGACCTCGTGCCCTTCTCTACTTTCGTTCTGCTTTTCAAAATTTAGTGTACCTTCTGTATGAGTGATTTTTTTTTTTTTTTAATTATTATTCCTGACTAAAAAAGAAAAAAATAGTGCGAAGTGTGTCAGTGGGCCACTTTCTCAGCAGGAGGATGTAGGTCAGTGTATTGTGCAGTGTATGTGTTTCATCTGCAGCTGTCACCAGACATCATTTCAGACGGATGCATAAAAAAATTCTATCAGTCGACGTCACAATGTAGCCTTTCCTGTTTGGTAGCATCAATTTATATTCAGCTAAAGTTGGCTCCAAAATACGAATATGATATCATTGGCATTCGGTGTATGTGTTACGGCCCGAATCAAATTTGGTACAAAAATGAATCCATCTCTTTGGAAGACCATCGTCTGTCTGAGCGTGAAACTGAAATGGGTTTTTCCCCTCTCATAGATGCCCCATAATAAACTTCAAGATGCACGTGTGTTGTTGACTGCAAGACTTACTTAACATACAAGATGCAGGACTTATTTTCTTGATGGTTTGTTTTCCTTTTGTGTGTCACCAGAGGTGCGAGTCCGGTGGGTCTTGTGTTGACTGCAATTGTAGCGTTGGTCTACAAGATAGCAATACACTTTGAGGGGTAAGTCCTGCGCAAGACTGAACTCACGTGGAGATACTTATATAAATGGAACGGCAAACCGCATTTCCACTGAAGTTGGGACGTTGTGCATGCAGTGCTTTTTAATTCCTTTTCAACCCGTATATTCCACTGAATATATGAGATATTCAATCTTCAAACCAGAGAATATGAGTCATTTTGCAAAGACGAGATGCAAACTACCGTATTTTCCGCACTATAAGGCGCGCCTAAAAGCATTCAATTTTCTCAAAAACCGACAGTGTGCCTTATAATCCATTGCAGCTTGTATGTGGATCAATATTCAGATTTCTTAGACGTAGTATTTTAAATGCTCTGTCAAGCGCTTTGTTACACCTGCAGCACTTGTGAAAGCGCTATCTTAATAAATCTGAATTGTATTGTATTCCCTTTAGCGTCGCTCCATCTAGTGGATGCATAATGCAACCTCAGGCTCTATTGTAGCTTCTATTCCATGCGCCTTATAATGCGGTGCGCCCTATACATGAAAACAGTTTTAAAAGAGGTGCGCCTTATACTCCGAAGCGCCTTATAGTGCGGAAAATCCGGTACATTTATCTGTATTCGTTGCTTATTGTAGATTTCCGACGATAATGCACAGATACTGCTCTGTCAATATTAAAGGTGAATCCATATAAAATTTAAACATCATGGATTAGTGACTGAGATGAGAGCACGGATGATCCGCAAGGCGTTTCTGCCTGCAGCAACCGCTGACAGCGCCATTGGATTGACTGGAAGGTGGTCATCGTAGGGCCACACTTCACTGCTACTTCAGCCCAAATCTCCCTTGTTCTGCATCCTTTGCCAGATCTTTTGTTGCCTCCTTTATTTTGGAGACTGTGATCCCAAGAGCCTTTCAGGAAGTGTTGGGTATGCCCCCAACACTTCCAGAGTAGACCTGGCAGCTGACCTCCACTGCATATGTGTGCACCTTCCTCATTTCTTCCACGACGACTACTTGGCTTGCATTTTACTTTCATGTTTTGCCGGCTGTGGCCTAAATGGCGTGAGATGAGTCTCTCCACTTGAACACGAGCGTCACCCTCACCGGATTGTGGGCCTCCACTGATGGATATCAGTGGAAGCTTCACGGCACTTCTTCCCGGCGGTGCCGTTTTGTTCAAGCAGCACGAGAGGCACTGCCACCTCCTGATGTAATTGTTGGCATTTGCATCCCGCTTGAAAGCTGTCATATGGTGATGTCACACATCTTCAGTCGCCGCATCAGCCGTTGATGCAAGTGGAGCTGATAACCCCAGACCTTGAATTTTCCTGGTTGGAGGCTGTGGTTGATGTGGCTCATATGTTCCGAGAGCTTGGATGTGACACCTGGTGCCATGTCAGAGAGGCCGACTGTACGCAGCATGCCAATGCTTCACAATGGCTGCTCTGCCAAGATCTTATCACATTCATGCGAACACATTTGTCACTTCTGACTCCCTTCCTGATTGAGAGACTGGGAGAGATTTGACAAATAATCTTAAGTATTACAGTCATCAGTATTATGGCAAATGAATTTTAGCCATAAAAAAAAGACCCACCAAAAGCAATGCCACAAGTTTCATTTGGAATAATATGGAGGAAAAAAAAAAAACACCTATCTTCGGCACTTTTTGCGCATTAGTGAACAGCAGCAGGCAAAATAATTTATTTATGCATGCAAAGACAAACTTGGTGGGCAAAAATTCTAATTTAACCCTCTGATTTGAAATGCGCAGGACAATCAACTCCTCTGTCACAGTGTCTCAACGTCCCTTTTTTTATTACTCTACCCTCCCTGCATGATGACGCATTGATGGTTTCCAAAAATTATTTGGGTTTTTTTTGAGCAAACAAACCTCAGATGACCACGGTCGTCAGTTATGTTTGTGTGTTTAGATTTAACTGGAATGCTTTGAGCGTTCCCAGAAGTTTTCAACTCACCCCTGAGTGGGGCCTCTTTCACATTTCCACCAAGTGGTACAGTTGACTTCATCTGAAAATAATCACAGCGTGATGTCAATGCCGCACAGCGAGGTGCCAAGTTATTACCCTTTCAATTAGTCCCTCAACGGGTTGGTGCAGAAAACTGGTCTGATGCGGATTTGTTATCTCTTATACCACCAAAAATATGGACCAAACAGACCCGATCTGTGCATCATTGTCAAAACTGGAACATTTCTTACCTCGTGAAATTGTTTCAAGTCCTTCAGCAGTCTTATTTAGGCGACGACGTAACAACGGGAACAGCCGGCCTATTCTGTATTTTGCGGTGGCCTCGTTTAATCGGGGACAAGTCCGGTTCCTTTCGAAAAGCTTGTTTGGGCCCTGTGTATGCGACACGCTGAAGTGACAGTGTCATCCATTCACCATTCGTGGTTGCAAAAGATCATGACGCATGCTGAGTTATCCGTGCTTCAAAGCGATGCAAGTAAACCATACAGAGCCATGATCCCGCATACAGTACGGCGGTACCTCTACTTACCAACGTCTCTTGACACGAAATTTTCAAGTTACGAAACGTCTCAACAGGAAAAGACTGCCTCTTGTTACGAAAGAAATTTCAAGATACAAAAGGTAAAAATATAGTATGGCCTGCGACTCGCAATTCTGAGTTTCCTGAACGCAACATACTTAGAGCTGCTCTATTCTTTGTTTTTTACATTATGCACAACGCTCATTTATTGTGCAATAGTCTAATTGTAACATGAATTAGTTGCATAATTTGATGCATTTTTATGCTTTAGAAAACATTTTTGCGGGGCTTGGAACGGATTAGGACATTTACATGGAAAACGCGCCTCGACTTACAAAGTATTTTTGTTCAGAAAATTTCTTCCAGAACCAATTAATTTCGTAAGTAGAGGTACCACTGTATTTGTTCCGATCTTTGTCAGAGTCACTGAAGAAATGACCCTCTGCTATATTTGTCCGTTATTATGACTTTTACGATGATGGCAGTTTAGTGAGGGCTCCTCCGTCATTCTCGCATGACATGAGCCTAATCGCCGAACGAGAACTTCAAGCGACCTCACTGGTCAAAGTTCATTTTCTTTGTCGAAGAGGAATCAATTTCAATCAATTCATAAGACTTTTCAGGCAAGGAAACAAACAATTCCGAGGATTTAAAGGTCCGAGTTCTCAAAACTGACCCCCTCTTGATTCCCATTTCTATCCATAAAGTTTTCCGCTCAGAAATAGCGAACGGGTTTCACATTTCCCATTGTCAGCTGACTGATTTCTGAGCGTATCGGGGAGGAGAAAAAATTAATCTCAAAAGTCGAGAACAGTATCATCACCACTCTGGATAAAGCTTTCAGAGAAATACGATAACGGGACCTTTGACCGACTTCGACTCGAACGGAAGGAAATGCTCAAATCCATGCGATCGGCGGTATCTGTGTACCTTGCTTCGCGATCAATGGCGCTCAGACCTTTGCAAAAAAAAACAAAACAAGGCAACACAGGTGGCTCCCATTGTGAGCCGCACACAATGAGAAAAATCTCTTAACCGTTCAAAAAAAGCGCATCGCGAGTCGATCCAAAACAAGTCACTGACAGTATGATGCGGCACCGTCGGTCGATCAGTCTTTGACAGCGCACCGAGCGTCGCTCATAATCACAGCCCACTCGCTCAACGATTTCGTATGCGACACGAAATCTTTGACTGCACAGCTGCGTAAAACGGAAGCCATCTTATATTGGTCCCCGCGTCACATAGTGTACACACGTATAGTCAACTCACGGTTGACGGAACATGCGCAGGATCCTGGTACAGGGTGGTACGGCGTTCAGATTTATTGTCCCGTTAATATATGTTTGTTCTGCTGTATTTGCAGAGGTTTCATTGAGCAAATCTATCAGCAGAGGACGCGCAAACATGAATAATCGCATCCTGTTGGGGTTGTGGGAGGATTCCCACCTGATCCTGAGGACCGTGACATGGCACGAGCGATTGTCAAGACGATTCCAGTGTTACGCTCTGCTGTCCGTTGACAGTTGCACAAAGTTGTGTTGCGATTATTTTTAAAATGTTTCCCCCCCACCCCAAATCATAGATCTCATTTTTAGGATCAGACATCTGGGAAATGTGTTTTGTGGTGCTCTGGGAACAATTTCAAACCATAATTACATGTCAAGAATGCAGGAAGCAATTACGGTAGCACAACATAATTAAGTTGGAGCAAAATACTTTTTTTTTTTTTTTTTTTTTTTAAAAGAAAGGAAATAGAGCAATTAAAATAAATTGTATGAAGAAGACAAAATGATTTTTATGTCAGGGTTTTTTTTTTTCATTATTTAAGAAATTTGACTGAAGACAATTATTGCTTTTGCGGCCACATTTTTTTTTTTTTTTTTTTTTTTGCTTTTGCATGCCCAATTTAAAATAATCAATCAGTTGCTGCTAAATGACTGTCTTATTTTGGCCATATTTCCGCAGTATTAAATCTCTCATGAGCTTGTGCCTGTAAGATTCTCAGAAGAAGCTCATTTTGTTGACCCATTGGCGTCAGTTTAGTTGACACGTGAAAATATTCTTTCAGACTGGAGAAGGTAATGACGATGATGTTGATTGGACATGTTTATGTAATAAATGGAATGACTGGTTTCTCTTTTCCTGTATTATAAAATCGCGTTTACGAATGGCGGAACTAAATTCCGCAAGATGGGTGAACTTTCATTGATTTGTACAGTCAACAAAAAAAAAAAAAATGTTTTTTTTCTTTGTATGTATTGATTGATTGTTGTTATTATCTACCAATTGGTTCGTTTTTGTTGGTTTGACCCTTTTTCAAAGCCGTACTTTGAATCATCCGCGTGGACAATCCAATACGCTTGCTGGTCACGCAGAACTTGGAGGTGGGGCAGGGCGATCCCGCTTAAAGAACGGAGAGAAAAGGGGCATCTGTCTTAGCGATCGGTGCTTGACAAAAGGTCACCATGTTCACTCGGTCACAATGCGCACGCCCTGACCCGCAAGTAGTACAAATCTCATTTCCTTCTTGTCATCAAGATCGAGTGATCTAACTTGAGTCCGTGGTGCATTTTAATGACCTGAAAATTTGTATTCTTCTCCTTACCGTTATCTTTGAACAATGCCGTCCCTCTAATTCTGTCCAAACTCTCTGTGGACAATGATTTGGACTTGAACAGGGGTGCCCAAGTCCGGTCCTCGAGAGTCCCTATCCTGTTTGTTTTCGAGGTTTCCCTCCTCCAACACACCTGATTCAAATCATCAGAAGCCTGATCATGAACCTGATTACTTTAATCAAGTGTGTTGGAGGAGGGGAACATGTCGAGGATCGTACTTGGGCAACCCCGCTCTATAACATGTGACTAAAAATGTCAAGAAAAGGCAACTAGAACAGCTTCATCTTGATTTGGGGTTCATTGGGATCATCTCAGCTTTTTATTTTACCCCCCTGGAAGAGATTTCGAGTCATCTGTACAGGGAATAGGTCACGTGAATGTTAACGTTTTGAAATGGTTTATTTTGGTCTACAGTGTTTTGGATCGCCGAAATCCGACATTTTATCTGGGGTGTGCAGAATTATATCCACGATAAGACGCCCTCAGAGCATTGCAGTCCCAAGTTCCGATGCAAAATCGGAAACACCATGGCGTGTATAATTGCCGTGAACGCTTTCAACTGCGTTTCTGTTGGTAGCTTTTATGAGGCATTCTTGTGACAAATGTATGCTTTGTTTTTTTTTTTAACTAATAACAAGTGCAGACTTAAAATCAACTGATCTACATCTCGAAAGAGTTAGCGTCTCTGCCGGTCGACTTACGACTTCCCATGACATCATTTGCATCGTAACGCAGCCCTCAGCGTCTTCACCGTCTTTTAGAACAAAGACAAAAGGCTGGATTTACGATGCAGGCCCTGGGGCAAGTACCCAAGTTACATTTAATGCTTGTATCTGATGTGCGTGCGTGCGTGTGTTCTTACTGGCATAGACATCCAAGGAGTAAACCGTGATAATAATGCAAGAAGCCTGATCATGAACCTGATTACTTTAATCAAGTGTGTTGGAGGAGGGGAACATGTCGAGGATCGTACTTGGGCAACCCCGCTCTATAACATGTGACTAAAAATGTCAAGAAAAGGCAACTAGAACAGCTTCATCTTGATTTGGGGTTCATTGGGATCATCTCAGCTTTTTATTTTACCCCCCTGGAAGAGATTTCGAGTCATCTGTACAGGGAATAGGTCACGTGAATGTTAACGTTTTGAAATGGTTTATTTTGGTCTACAGTGTTTTGGATCGCCGAAATCCGACATTTTATCTGGGGTGTGCAGAATTATATCCACGATAAGACGCCCTCAGAGCATTGCAGTCCCAAGTTCCGATGCAAAATCGGAAACACCATGGCGTGTATAATTGCCGTGAACGCTTTCAACTGCGTTTCTGTTGGTAGCTTTTATGAGGCATTCTTGTGACAAATGTATGCTTTGTTTTTTTTTTTAACTAATAACAAGTGCAGACTTAAAATCAACTGATCTACATCTCGAAAGAGTTAGCGTCTCTGCCGGTCGACTTACGACTTCCCATGACATCATTTGCATCGTAACGCAGCCCTCAGCGTCTTCACCGTCTTTTAGAACAAAGACAAAAGGCTGGATTTACGATGCAGGCCCTGGGGCAAGTACCCAAGTTACATTTAATGCTTGTATCTGATGTGCGTGCGTGCGTGTGTTCTTACTGGCATAGACATCCAAGGAGTAAACCGTGATAATAATGCATATACGTTCGGTTTCATGCAGGTTGTTGGCCTGGAGCGTCTCCCCCCCCCCACCCCCCCATTGATTTAAATTAGAGTGCATATATATATATATATATACATACATATACACCATCTACCATGCCATCCTATTATTTGTTTATTACATTTTTTTTTTTTAAATCTGATGTAGTCTACTAGAGGATTTTTTTTTTATATATATATTTTTTATATGTAAAAATGTGTTGACCAGTGTTCTTGCTAAATGTAGTCATATACTGTTTCATTCCGTTGTGGCGTAAGAAAGGTTCTGTTACGATATGAGTGGCATCTCAGAATCGCCTCCTAATGTGGCGCAGCGCAGCTTTTTAAGCCAATAACCATCGTAAATCCATCAATTCAACGTTTTCTTTTTTTTTTTTAAGTTCCATTTTTGAAAAGTAAGAATTCAATAGAACAGAAAGCCTTGTATGTCATTGTCTGGTAAATACAACAAAATTTGTGTGAGGCTGCAAGTTTGTTTCTTCAATTACAAAAAAACAAAAAAACAAAAATAGATCATATAAAAGCTATAATAAACAATACGAATCTATGCTGTGCAAATGGAAGCAAAATCACACGTCTTATATGACCCACAGCTCGTACTGCACTTTGACATGATTTATTTTTAAAAGGTACACATCTAAACAGAATATATCTCATCTAATTTCAGCCACTTTTCAAATGGTTTGCAATAGCCGCACACTTCTGCCTAACATTGTGCTTTTAGCGCCCCTATTTGGCCATTCTGATAACTGCAGCGATTATTTGCATCCCATCAAATTTACACACTTGCACAAAGCAAGGTCCAAAACGAACTGAACTGAGTTTTGTGTGGAAGCTTTCCGCTGGATTCAAGACATCTAAAACAAACAAAGCCCACAAATAGAAGAATTTGAGAAATTTAAAAGCAAAGAAATAAAAAGTAGTTTACAAAAACAAAAGTACCGATGTTACAAGAACAAGATTTTTGAAAAAAAATTCTTAGAAATACTTTAATAGACCTTAATCATAGGTATGGTGGGGCAGATTTTTACCCTGGTTTTGAAATTATTTACACTCAGCATTTACTCTTACGCGTGACTTGAACTTTTTTTGTAGCTAGCATGTGTTGTCAACTCCGTGCTCCGAGTACAACTTGTGACATTATACAATTTTACTTGTTAACATCTAGCGCACGACTAGTCTTGTACTAGTCGGGCACAAATGTCAACGAGTGTACAGTTTTGATACAAAGGTAACGTGCGCCACTGGTGTCATACAGGCGCTACGGAGTAGTACGCAAAAGTATATCTGCCTCAATACAATTCAGTTATATTTAACTTTTTAAGTCCAGCATATTTGCGTTTAATCTTTAAGAAGTGTAATTTTGCAAACATTTATTCGGGTTTGATTTGAGTTCAATTTTGTGTGCACTTCTTCGGAATACAGCCTCATTTTTTGATGAACACTTAGGCCCACTATAGTACTGTACAGTATTTATATATGGCGTCACGATGGTGGTATTTTTTTATCAGGTGGTCCTTTGTGTGACGTTTGGCAGTTGTGGAAGTCACTTTTGTGTGTCTTATTCATTCTACTCGTGCACTAAATTGTCCTCAAGACTGGACATGGAACTTAAGTAACTATCAGGGTTCTTAAATATATTTTTTTAATGTAGCAAAGAACCCTCTGTCCACTTCGGTCTCTTTCTCAGATTCGAAAAACTTTATGACAGTGACTTTTCGAGAATTGGAAGACTGACGCACCGATGGGAGTTTGCTCCGCGTTTTTACTGCGCTCTACGGACCACCCTGTCAGCGAGCCGTGACGTCGACGGGAGGAGGGGTCCACCCGCGCACTTAAATAGCTCCGAGCTTCATCCTGACCGACAGAAAGCCACACAACGTTTGAGAATCGGCCACACAAGTCTCCTCTCGCTCTCCAGAAGACTCGCACCTCACGGCCCGGAGGACGCCATGATTAAAAAAATGTCCCCTTCGGAGAGCGACTTTGACATCCCGGCCAAGAACTGTTATAGGATGGTGATTCTGGGCTCCACGAAAGTCGGGAAAACGGCCATCGTGTCCCGCTTCTTAAACGGGAGGTTCGACGAGCAGTACACGCCGACGATAGAGGACTTTCACCGGAAACTGTACAGCATCAAGGGGGACGTTTACCAGCTTGACATCCTGGATACGTCTGGCAACCATCCGTTCCCTGCCATGCGGAGGCTCTCCATCCTAACAGGTACTTGCGCGTCATTTTACGCACGCACTATTTCGTATTGTCATTCAGATTTTTTTAAATACAAAAACAAAAAATGGGCGAAACAAGCGAACTTAGTTCTCTCCTCCCTTCACAGGTGATGTGTTCATCCTGGTTTTCAGCCTGGACAACAGAGACTCCTTCCACGAGGTGCAGCGCCTCAAGCGTCAAATCTACGAGACCAAGTCGTGCCTCAAAAACAAAATGAAAGAGAACCTCGACGTACCCCTGGTCATATGCGGCAACAAGGGCGACCGCGAGTTCTACCGCGAGGTGCAGCGCGCCGAGATCGAGCAACTGGTGGACGGCGACGAGAACAAATGCGCCTACTTCGAGATCTCGGCCAAGCGCAACGAGAACGTGGACCGGATGTTCCAGACGCTATTCACCCTCGCCAAGCTGCCCCACGAGATGAGTCCCGACCTGCACAGGAAGGTGTCCGTGCAATACTGCGACATGCTGCACAGAAAGTCCATGAAGAACAAGAAAATGAAAGACGTCGGGGAGGCGTACGGCATGGTGACGCCGTACGCGCGCAGACCCAGCGTGCACAGCGACCTCATGTACATTAAAGAGAAGGCGGTCGGCGGAGGGCAGGCGAAAGATAAAGAAAGATGCGTGATCAGTTAAGAGGACTTGTTGGAAGAAAATATTTCGAGTGAGAGAGGGGGGGCGAGGGGAAGAAAAAGCAGCCACCTTTGGGGCTTTTTCGAGCCGGTTTGTGCGCGCGCACGTTCAGGCGCCGACGCACAACCGTCGCCCATGGATACGGAGCGGATTCCGAAGAACTGTCCCCAAAAACAGACATAACCCACGACAGATTGAAAGAATGTTCCCTTCTTCTGTCCAACCGTGTGACTTTTCATCACCGTACTTCGTGCGCGTCAGACGTAAAAAAAAAAAAAAAAAAAAAAAAATCCCGAAATGTGTTCGTTGACGTCATCAGAGACTCTGAAAAGGAGCCGCAGCAGTGGGCAGTAACGTTGTTTACATCTTTGTTTTCTAATAACCACACTTGAATGTTCCTTTGCAATCAGCACTATTTTTTCGTACTGTATATTTATTGTGACTGTCACTTTTTGCAAAAAAACAAAACCTGATAAAATAAAAACAAAAACAACCAGCTAGAAATAGCGCCTGCATTCCTTGTTTTATTTACTTAGCTGAGGTTCTCATCAACAGTCATCCACACAAAAAAAAAAAAAAACTTGCACATGGTAATTATGTTGATGGTCCTTCTCTAAAAGTACAGAAAAAAAAGACTGTGGGAAAACAATTATTCATTCAAAAGGAGTTTTTACTGCCATTTTTATGAATACCTGTTTTGATAACTTTGAGAAAAATGAGCAAAATCGTGTGTCTCTTTTATTAACTTCCTGTACAGTGATTGTAGGCAACATCATTTTCATCCAGCCATCCATTTTCTGATACGCTTATCCTCACGAGGGTCGAGGGCTGGCTGGAGCCGATCCGAGCTGTCTTCGGCCAGTAGGCGGGAGACACCCTGAACTGGTTGCAAGCCAATCACAGGGCACACAGAGATAAACAAAAATTTACGGTCACAATCACACCTAATGACAATTGAGAGTGTTCCATTAACCTGCCATGCATGTTTTTGGAATGTGGGAGAAAACCGGAGCACCCGGTGAAAAGCCACGTAGGCACGGAGCCGGAATCGAACCGTGCTCCTCTGCACTTGTGAGGCGGACATGCTCACCAGTCGTTCACAGTGCTGCCCCCGACATTTTCATGTTCCCTTAAATGACGTCATGTTTGGAGAATATCTCGCTCAATTCTGTTGCCATTGCGGGTAATACTCCACAATTCACCTTGTCGTCCCAAAATCTCAATCAATCATCCTCAGGCCTATTTGGATGAATATGCATAAATCCAAAGTACCTACTGAAGGGAGAAAAAAAAAGAATAGAAGTTTTATTTTTCATGTACTCAATTTAAGACAACACAGAGGACGTTTGCATGTGTGCCTCACAAGTCAATCGGTCCCGGGTTCGAATCTTGACTCGAGATCTCCAGGGTGGAGTGTTCTCCCCGTTTGTGTGTGTGTTTGTGTGTGCGCCAGTCTGCTCCATAGCTTCCTCCCACATGACAAGAACATGTGTTCGAGGAAAATGAATCTTTTGTTTTCATTCTCGAGGTCACTTCGATCGCGTTGCGGTTTGTCTATCACCTTATTTCGTGTGTTCAGAGCTTGTTCTCATCCACCCCTGCGGCAATTTTTTTCACATGAGCCCAGCGCTGCAGTGTCCAGTGTGACGCTCAAGCTTCTCCTCGCGATCGACAATCAGCCTGCCGGCTATGAGTGCAAGCGGTGCGCGTGCGTGTGTGTGTGTGTGTGTCTGTGTTTCGTACCCACAGCTGTGTGCTCCAACACTGCCCAGCCGCTAATCAGTAACACTATGTGCTTGACTCCTTGTTACATTTATAATAAGATACACACGAATACGAGCTCTTCTCCTTTGCATATGTGTGAATAAAACATGCAGTGATCCACCGGTCGGACGGCGGGAACATGTCTAAAAAAAAAAAAAAAAAAAAAAAGTCGGAACGTAATGCCGGAGCTTAAGGAAACAACATTAAAGCTTTGCTAACCCTCGCAAGAATGTGCTTCTGGTCAGTGAACTGTGAGGTCGAGTTAGGCAGGCGATTTGAAACCACTGCAAACTCCACCCGCTGGAACATAAGTACGGACTCTAGTTATAAAACAGCCAAACATTTCAAATTGATACTCACATAGATTCTTTGGCCATATTTTTATTTGCTTATTTTTTTTTTAATCAATCCTCCATTAAAAGCAGGACATCAAATCTGTTTATGATCAGACATTGATGCTCATCTGTGCAGCCAACAGAACTCAATGCAGCTCTGCTTACCTTTTGGCTTTGACGTGTTAGTCGGGGAGCCGCACCTGTGGAGGTGTGTGTGTGTTTCTGCGTGACAAATGGTTATGGATCATCATGTTTCACACAGTGGGCGACACGGTGGTCAACTGGTTAGCACGTCCGCCTCACAGTGCAGAGGTGCAGGGTTTGATTCCGGCTCCAGCCTTGCTGTGTGCAGTTTGCATGTTCTCCCTGTGCCTTTGTGTGTGTGTGTGTGTGGGAGGGGCGGGCTCCCTTATTCCAAAACATACATGACAGGTTTATGGAACACTCTAAATTGTCCCGAGGTGTGATTGTGAGTGAGAATGGTTGTTCGTCTCTGTGTGTCCTGCAATTGGCTTGCAACCCGTTCAGGGCTTACTACTGGACGAAGACAGCTGGGCGAGGCTCCCTTGTGAGGCTAAGCGCATTAGAAAATGTATGTATGGATGGATGGTTTCACACAATCCGGTTGCCCGACTCTGGCAGTCTCTTCAAAGTGGCTTTGGATTTAGCTCGTCATGTCATTAATGGACAAATTCCATGCGATTATAAAAATGCCATGTACTTTTCCTTAGTTTCTAATTCTTGGTATTTATTTATTTATTTATTTTTTGGGGGGGGGAAGTCTTATTACAGCATACGATTCGAATGATAAATCCATTTTAGAGCCATGAAAAAATTATTCGAAAGGATTTATGCGTTCAATTTAGGCTGGTGCCATTGCAGTATGTCACACCGGTCGAACACGAGGATGTTGTGTTTGTGCTGGCATGGCAACTGCTGGCCAAGCATCATATCGTTAATTTTTGCAGGTTCACGTGAACGTTGTCTGTCCGTGAAGCATTTCAAGAAACACAAAGAAAAAAAAAAAGTTGAGCCACTTTTCACATGTTTTGTTATTTGTGTGGTACTTTTTTGCTTGGATTAGCCTTTCACTCAGTTTCCTGAATCCCACAATAATGCTCTTAATCTATGTTAATCTGTACATTCAACAAAACTCAATGCGGCGCTGCTTTTTTTTAAATTAATTAATTAATTTTTTTTTTGCTGTTGGCAAATAGCAGGGGCAATAGAATCATTGTTGGTATTTATGATTCAAATGCCAACTGCTTTTTGGAGGCAACAACAAAAAAAACGTTTTCAAAATGACCGCATTTTTGGTTTCCACGTTAAAACGGAAAAAAAAAACAGTCGGAGGCGTGTGCTGCAGTCTTCTGGGCACATATGAGCACAGTGAGTCACCGTGGCGGTACAACTCAAGGATGCTGTGTTTGTGCTGGCATGGCAACTGCCGGCCTGACATCGCCGTATATCAATGTTTGTTTTTGCAGGTTCATGTGAACAGTGTGGTCTGTATGTGAAGCTTATTAAAAAAAAAAAAAAAAAAAAGGAAAAGGAAATTTAGAAAACGTACCCTTTGTCCGTTCCCGAAGAGGTTTGTAGTTGGAACGTACTGTCTTTACGGTCGCTGTAAGAAGTACTAGTTTGTTCCATGCATCTCGTCTATCCGGAACGATATTGCATTTGGAAAAAGTAGCGATCGGATATTCACAAAAAATCCGTCAGAGTTGTGTATTTTTATTTTTTTTCCATGGCTTTTCAATAATCAAACGTAGTCCGCTGTGCAGCTCGTGGAACAGTGTAAATTTACTGTCCAAAATAACTCAACAAGCAGCTATTAACTAAACAGCGAAAATGTCCAAATGGATCCGAATTAGACGTTTATCCTCTCCGGTGTCACATGGTAGGATTACAAGTTCGCTGGTGCGAATGGGGCACATTAAGTCTTAAATTTGGTGTTCTCACTATCTAACTTGGCCTCTCTTCCGTAACAGACAGATACGATCCATTTTAACATAATTTACAACGATTCTCTCGTGTTGATCTCTGTGTTAAGGTAAAAAAAAATGTGTTGGTTTATAATTACCATATGTTACATCTTTGGTATTTTCGTTTATACTCTATGGTAGCAGGAAGCTAGTCAGTGTTACATTTTAACTTCAACACAGACTCGCGGATCGAAGAGAGGGCAGTCGGCGCGGCTGTGAGAATGGTCACAGCCGATTGCACTCATGGCCAATCAAAGCAGTTCCTGTTATTTCCTTCAATTGTGACACGCTAGTCATGTCATGTGGTAGGAAATAGGCACTCGGAAGCCTCATCACCCCCAATTGTTGGTGTGCCCCCTCCCATTTCCGAAGCTGTGCCGCCAAGTGGAATGATAAAAAAAAAAAAAATAGAATACAAGGATATAGAAGGTTTGATGGTCGCTGTTCACGTATTTATGAATGGAATTCATCTTTTTTTGAGTAGACCAACAGTCAGCCGTGTGGCCATTTTCGATTTTTAGACTGAGCAGGCATAAAGTTTAGACTTTCTGCTCCCAAATTGTCCACGCCCACATCTCTGAGCTCTTCGTTGGATCCGCCGATTGAGGCACCACGGCAGAGCAGAAGCCTACTACGGTCATTCGTTTCAAAATATTTAACAGAAAAGCTGCATTTAAATAAAAAAAAAAAAAACTGTTACGAGATGGGCGCATTGCACAAACAGTTCTAATTCCAATGAACAATTAAATTGTCCTTGTGATAATGAAGGATTCAGCTGCGGACGGAGCTGGTATCTATTTTCATGTTCTTGCACAACACAAGAGCAGGTGGGCCAAACTGTCTCCTCACCCCCCCCCCCCCAAAAAAAAAAAGATTTAGCCCTGTTCGGAAGACGACTCCCCTGGTCAGTGTCTTAATCTTAATGTGTAATGTATTTACCTGTACGTTGCAGCCAAGCATGACAGCAGAGTCAGACCTTGCCCAGACGGTTCTGATATAACTGATACACAGGCGTGATTACACGGTGACATAATAACTCTGCCGCTTCCACTTCAAAGGCTTAACAGCTTCGATGAAAGCCAGGACGAGACACACCAACTCACTTTTCGGGAAAACAGTTATTCGGAATACAAATATCATTGGAGTTCATTGGCGAACTAGACACGAAAAAAAAAATTACAATGTTTCCAGAAACAATGCTAAGAAATAGTTCTCATACTCAACTATGGTAAATATTTTATCCTTTTTTGTCTACCCCCCCATGTTTGATTTCCAATAGAATGTCCAATGTTGCCAATGCTTTTGTGTCTCTGAAAAAAAAAAAAGACAGTTGTAAGTGATGTGTGATGCATACATACACACACTTCACACTTAACCTTTCAAAGTAATTGAGTAACAAACTGGTTTCCTCCAAAAAATCCTCCTCCGGCCTCTGCAGCTCATTATGGAGTTTATTTTGGTTAAGATTTAACTGAGCCGCAGGAAGTCATTTACAGTGACTGTCATACAGTGTTTTTTTTTATTTTTTATTTTTTATTTTTGGTGAAACTAGCAAATGGATCGTGGTTAGGGGCTGTGCTTCAGCGCACTCCAGCCACGAGTTGCACGCACGTAACAATAAGAAATGGAGAAATGCCACATTTTGCGTTGTCAATCGGTAACCATGCAAATTAAACAAGATAGTACAAAAATCACATTCAGGACAAGCAAAAAAAAAAAAAAAGGAATTTTGATTTTACGTTCATGTGTTATTCCTCTGGCTAATTGCTTTGTTGTGCTGATAGTTTTAAAGCCGTTCCAACTTAAATTACAGATTTAGCTTCTTTTTTTTGTTTTTTTTAAACAGTGTTTTGCAACATCAAATAGGATAACAAATGCACTATATGTGTGGGTATCTTGTATACATGGTCGAAATTAAAAATTAGTCATCTGGCAAAAAAAAAAAAAAAAAACCTCCTGAACGGAAAAGCTTAAAATCATGAGTGCAAATTTGAAACTAATGGTGATATAAACAAATGACTGATACAAAGAAACAAGAAAAACATTTTTGCCACAGATCTCAGCCACTCGTGCGCGTCTTTGATGCCGCCTTCTCCGTTTTGACAGCAAGCGGCGGCGAGAAACAACAACAACGGCGTTTATAGACGCTCGCGAGCACAGACCGCTCCTCACAGACCTCGTATCAAAGCAGAGGCAGGACAGACGCAGGCGTGAAGATGAAATTATCGGGCGACATAAGGCGCTTTCATCCAAGACCCCGCTGCGAGCGCGAGGGTGGGGTGGTGGTGGGCACACATGTCTAGGTCTTGTTTTGGATTTAATGCAATGTGACTGAGTGGTGTCACTGTCACTCAAGAGCAGCGCTCGTGATATGCACGGCGCCTGTGCGGGGGCGTGAAGTGAAAAATTGATTGAGGCCCTTTATTCCTTCAATTATATTGAGTATCGATCATACAGCGACTAGAAATTCATCTGCCCGTCTTGTCTATAGGATCCTTATTTCGTCAGGTGTTTTTTTTTTGGGTGGGTGGACCTTGAACTGCACATGACTGCTCAGCACTGCTCCGTTGTTTTTGCGGTCTTCTTTCCTATCTAAATGCTGACATCATCGAAACAATTGTCCCTCCAAAACAATGGAAAAGTGACACCAATGCAGCGGGAGGATATACAAAGAAATTTATGAGTTGGTATTATGAGATGAGCTTACGTTTTATAGCTGCTCAGTTACCCCGGTAACATTTCCCCTTGACTGTCCCCGTTGATGACATTACAAAGCAGTCTGTCTATACAAAATATATGCCCTGACTGGCCATCATGGCAGTTTAAGAGCCAGACCGCCCGAAAAAAACCCGCAGTATAGGCAATCCAGAGACATATTTGTAACATGGCGATTAAAAAGTCCATTTTCCACAATGTGTCCCCTTTAAATGAAGACGATCTTCTGAAAGTAAAACAAATAGCCCGGCTACATTCAATTGGGCCTCATCCATAAGCGTCACTGGAATATTACGCATTGATTGAAGTCTTAATAAGAACAGTCGATTAGCCATTTGACCTCAGCCAGGGACTCGTATTGTGTTGGTTACGAAACGACGACGTTGCGGCGGACAGTAAAAGATGCTTCGGATAATTACGGTGGTTTCGGCCTCTGCGCGTCCACTTTTCTCTCATAAAAGGTGAATTTTAGTGTCAAATCTACCGACGGGGGGGTGTTCAGCGAAGCGGAGGCAACAAAATGATGAAAACGCTTTCGTAAGAGGAAATAACGACCCTTCTTGACTGAGCGCAATGCTCTATGCTTTCTTTTATGTCATTAACGCATACACTTTGTGAAAAGCTA